AGGCGGGGCAGGGAGTGCAGGAGCAGGGAGTGGAACTGGGCCCCTCCCTTCACAGGGCACCTGGGGCTGAGTGAGGCCTGGCCCAACGTACAGTCTCAGCGCACATGGGGTAGGCAGAGGTAGATATACACAGATGCTTGGCTGGATGGATGGACAGATGGGCGAATAAAATCAGTGGGTGGGCAGACATGAGGCTGGACAGATCAGCAGAGCGCTGTAGGGAGGCTGGGTGATGGGCGGGAGACAATGGACAGTGGAATCAATAATCAGATGAGTAGCTGGATAAAGGGACAGGTGAGCGGGTCAATGAGCAAACGGGAGACAAAGGAATGGTCAGACAAGGGTACGCACGGATGGGCAGATGTCAGAGCAGAGGGCGTGGAAGTGGTCAACCCTGACCCCTGGTGGTCACCGTGGGAATGACCATCCAGAGCCTGGCTTGACTGCCATTGCAGGGTGGTTCCGGGAGGGAGGCAGAGTTTGCGTCTGGGCTCCAGCACTGGGCCGCTGTGTGACCTTGGACAAGCCACTTAACCTTTCTGAGCTGCAGACTTCCCCTGAGTGTGGCTAATATGATACTAACACGATACTAACAGCTCATGGGGCTACTGGGAAAATTCAGCAAGCTAATGTATTCGGAAGGCACCTGGTACCCACTGCTGCAGGGAAACAGGGCTCAGGGCAGGACGAGCCTGATCGCTCCCAATGGCCCCTATGCATTCCTTCATCGTTTTTCTATAACCCAGGGGATCGTCTCCCCTTTCTTCCTAAAAAGCCCCTCTTGGCCTGAGATGAAGTCCAAATCCCCGAGCCTCCCTCCTCTTCTGCCTGTCTCCTCCCCGACCCACAGGCGGCCCAGGCACTGTGCGGCTTGTGCACTTGGGCGTCTCCATTGCCCACACCCCGGGTCTCAGCTCAGCCGGGCTGCGAGCAGCAGCCGCGGTCCCACACTCCCACACGTGTGAGATTCCGTTGTGTGGTGATGACATCCGTGTGCATTTTCCCCTCGGTGGGCAGCCGGCTGCTCCTCGGGTCCCTGTGACGCCAAGCCATGCTGCAGGAGCAGTCTGAGTTGTGTCCCCCGGCATGCTGCTTCCCCTTAAATGTCATTTTGGGGGCAGCCATGCTGGCCGTGGAGGTTCCAGGCTTCATCTGTACAAAGAAGGGCTCAGCTGGTTCTCCAGGGTGGTGAACCAGTTTGTTTGTTTGTTTGTTTGTTTGTTTATTTTTGACAGGCAGAGTGGATAGTGAGAGAGAGACAGAGAGAAAGGTCTTCCTTTGCCATTGGTTCACCCTCCAGTGGCCGCCACAGCTGGCGCGCTGCGGCCGGCGTACCACGCTGATCCGATGGCAGGAGCCAGGTGTTATCTCCTGGTCTCCCATGGGGTGCAGGGCCCAAGCCACTTGGGCCATCCTCCACTGCACTCCCTGGCCACAGCAGAGAGCTGGCCTGCAAGAGGGGCAACCGGGACAGAATCCGTTGCCCCGACTGGGACTAGAACCCGGTGTGCCGGCGCCGCAAGGCGGAGGATTAGCCTAGTGAGCTGCGGCGCGGACTCCCGTCCAGTTTACTTTTTTAAAACATTTCTGTTATTTGTTTGAAGGGCAAAGTTATAGAGAGAAAGGGAGAGACAGAGAGAAACAGAAAGGGGCAGGCACTGTGGCATAGTGGGTAGAGGTGCCGCCTGCAGTGCTGGCAATCCCATATGGGTGCTGGTTCGGGTCCCAGTTGCTCCTCTTCCAATCCAGCTCTCTGCTATGGCCTGGGAAAGTAGTAGAAGATGGCCCAAGTCCTTGGGCCCCTGCACCTGCATGGAGACCCAGAAGAAGCTCCTGGCTCCTGGCTTCAGATTAGCCCAGCTCCAGCCATTGCGGCCAACTGGGGAGTGATCTAGCAGACGGAAGACCTCTCTCTCTCTCTCTCTCTCTCTCTCTGCCTCTGCTTGCTGCCTCTCTGTAACTCTGCCTTTCAAATAAATAAATGAATCTAAAAAAGAGAGATAGGAGAAAGAAAGGGAGGTCTTCTGTTGCTGGTTCACTCTCCAGATGGCCACAATGGCCAGGGCTGAGCCAGGCCAAAGCCAGGGGAGCCAGGAGCTTCATCCAGGTCTCCCACTCAGGTGCAGGGGCCCAAGCACTTGGGCCATCTTCCACTGCTTTCCCAGGTGCACCAGCGGGGGAGCTGGATCGGAAGTGGAGCAGGCGGGACTCGAACCCGCTTTACTCGCTTCGCCACAGTGTGGACCCCATCACGGATGTTTCCTTCGGCTGCATCGCAGGGACACTCAGCCATGCTGGTGACACACCGCGGGGACTCTGGGGTCCCTCCCGCCGCCGCCACAGGTCACACTTCACAGTCCTCACTGCCAGCTTCGGCTCTTCTCTGCTCCTTTGCTCGGCTTCTCCATCCCAGGGACAAATTCCAAATAGACGGAGAGATTTTGCATTCCATGCTTTGTTCTTGGCCTCTGACCTCAGGGAATGTGTGCTGCGTAGCAGCCACTGCCTGAATTGGGGGCGCGTGCTGTGTGGTCTCCCTCACTAGCGACCCCTGTAAATGGCCCGCCCGGGGCAGGGGGCTTGAGAAGAATCCGTCCATCCAGGGGTCGTGGGATCAGTTACTGCCCCCTCGGCCGAGCCGGCTGCTCGCACGGTTTCTGCTTCTTGGCTTGGTTTTTCCGTTTTGCCATCAATGATGGCGAAGCATTCGGAACCTGCCGTGTTGCTGGTGGATTTATCAGTTTCTCCCCATCCTATCCATTTGTATTTTATATAATGTTTTTGTTTGTTTAAAAGGCAGAGTGACATGGCGGGGGGGGGGGTCTTCTATCTGTTGACTTGCTCCCCAAATGGCTTCAAGAGACAGCCAAAGCCAGAAGCCAGAACTCCATCCAGCATCCGGTCTCCCACGTGAGTGCAGGAGCCCAAGCACTTGGGCCGTCTTCCACTGCTTTCCCAGGCGCATCAGCAGGGAGCTGGATCGGAAGTGGAGCAGCTGGGACAGGAACCGGTGCCCACATGGGATGCCAGTGTTGTAGGTGGCACCTAAACAGCTGCACCACAATACCAACCCCTACAGGTATTTTTAAAAAATTATTTTGGTGCCAAAATTTTTTAAAAGATTTATTTATTTATTTATTTATTTATTTGAAAGGCAGAGTTACAGAAACAGGGAGGGAGTGAGGGAGAGATCTTCTATCCACTACTTCATTCCCTAGAAAGCTACAATGGCCGGGCTGGGCCAGGCCGAAGCCAGGAGCTGCCTCTCAGTCTCCCACATGCGTGCAGGGGCCCAAGCACTTGGGCCATCCTCCACTGCTTTCCCAGGCGCATCAGCAGGGAGCTGGATCGGAAGTGGAGCAGCTGGGACTCGAACCGGCGCCTATACGGGATGCTGGCACCGCAGATGGCCGCTGTTACCCACTTTACCCCGCAGAGATCTTTTTAACTCCATGGGTAGTTTCTTCATAGTATGCATTTCCCAGGAACTTTGTAATGCTCCGTCTCAGCTGTTCTTAGCGTGCAAACGTAAAGCCTCCCTTTTTGTCCTGGTTCTTGCACGGGGCCTCTGCTCGAGAGAATGCCAACCTCCAGTTCCTTGCTCTCATCACCGGAAGAGCAGATTCCTGTCCCCGCGCCCCGTGGACACGGCCTGGCCTTCCTCAGCGGCTGCGGCCATCGGCTCCTGCCTTGGGCGTTGAGCAGTTTCAGTAAAATGTGACCAAGCCTGGATGTGCTTTTATTTATTTTGTGGAGACATTGTGCTTCCTGGTCCTGTGGGTGTTTTCCATCACTTCCGGACAAGCCGCACCACTTCGTCTTCACGCACCGCCTCCTTCCGCCCTCTCCAGGCGCTTCCTCCGGGATCCGGGGACCCGCCGTCTCCTCAGCCTGCTCTCGGGGGCTCTGCGTCTTACTCAGGCCGCGCCGCACCCACCCCCCCCCCCCCGCCCCGCCATGCTTTTTGCAGTTGACGTCTGGCTCTCTAACTCTCTCATCAATCATTTACCACGTACTGCTTGTTGTTAGATATCGGAATATTTTGCATTTCTAGTAATTCCACTTGTTTTCCTCCCAGTCTCTCTCTCTGTCACCTGTCCATCATCTGTCTCTTTATCCCTGTCGGCTTGGTGCGCTGGTCTTTGGAGCCGCGTGTCCTGTTTCTTCTGTGTCTCACACGTGACTGCATCCGGCGCGGGCTTCTGTTCCTGCCCCCTCCTGCACGCCCCCTGGTGGTCTGCTTTCTCGGGACTGGCGGATTCCGCGTGGACCTCCCTCCAGCTCCACCCTCTGCAAGTTCTCCTCGGTGTTGGGTTTGCTTCTCACCTGCCAGCAGCAGGGGCCAGGGACAGCAGTGGGGGAGACCCGGTCGTAGGACAGGAAGGCCCCGCCCTGCACTTGGAGGTCAGGGACCACCCCTAGTCCAGACTGGAGAGAGCAGGCATGCGTCATCACCATTCACAAATGACAGGCCAGGGGGAGAACGTTCCAGACAGAGACCAGCCCAAAAGTGAGGAAGAAGCTGTTCCGGGAGCTGAGCGTGGTCCAGTGTGGCAGGACGGAGAGGGGGGACGGCCTGCAGCGGGCCGCAGGCTGGACCCCCGGCCTTCATCTCCCATGCGGAGCTGGGCAATGAGCAGGAGGAGGGCACGGAGGGCTTCGGGCGAGCCAGCCACGGTCAGGCGGCAGGCGTGAGAAAGCCCCTCGCATCCGTGTACAGTGAGACCCGGGAGTGGGAGGCAGGAGGCTCGGTGGAGGCCAGAGCTGAGCCAGGACAGACAGCGGGCTGGGGGCACCCAAGACGGACCCCTTGGGGTCTCTGCTGGTGGCCCTGGCCAGCAGACGCCTCCAGCTAAGTGGGGCTCTCCCCGCGGGCACAGCAGCCGCCTGCATGGCGCAGGTGGGTGGAGTTGAGGGGAGCGAGCCCATGCCCCGCCCCCTGAGTCAGCACAGGTCGCAAACATTAAATAGATGGACAGAGAAATAGCTAAATCTGATTTTCAGACAAATGGCAAGCACGGTTTTATTCCAAAATTCTTCCCAAAATCAGGCATCCTGTATTTGCTCTGGCAACTCCTCGTCCAGCCCTACCCCCACCGCTGAGCACGCTTACTCCTTGCTGAAACAGTAGTCAGAGAACACAAACCCCTCCACAGAGGCCCGTGGGACGCCTCGACCAGCCGTCGAGGCTGGTCTTGTTAGCAGGGGTCCCCCAAGGCCTGGGACCTGCTGCGACTCGGAGCCCGGCCAAACCAGGGGAGCGTGAACGGTGACTCGGTGGGGGCGGCGCCACGCTAGGCCTGGGGTCAGAGCGAGGGGGCCTTTTCCATGGGGGACGTGGGGAGGTTTTCTGGAAGATCTGATAAATGGCCCCCCAGGAACTTACCCAGATGACAGCACCGCACTGGGTGGGGGGGGGGGGGCGGGAATCCCTGGAAAGGAGCGGCAAGGCTGCAGCAGAGGCCCCTCGGGGAAAAGGGGGAGCAGCCAGGCCAGCGAGGTGGCGCGGACCCAGGCCTGGCTCCAGCGGGTCGGCCTCAGAGCTGCAGCCAACATAGCGGACCCTGGTCAAGCACTGACAAAGCCCCAGCCGCCCCGAGCAGCTGCTCCGGGCTGAGCTCCCACCCCCCCGGGGGATGGGTTCTCTCATCCAATCATGGGGCCCCAGCTGCACAGAGAGACTTATCTGCCATCACACAGCCAGCCACAGGCAGAGCTGGCGTTTTATACCACTCGACACCTGGTGATGAGTTCTGTGTATGAATGTAGACAAGGGCAGAGGGCCCTCCTAGGAGGACAGGGACAACGCTCCAGCCACCTTGATGGGACATTCAAGGTCATAAAATCCACCTGCCGGCTGGGGGCAGGGCCCTGAGTCTTTCCATGTGTGCCAGGCACGCCCAGGGCACAGCCCCCAGGAGTAACCTCGGGAGCTGCTTTTGGAAAGGAGACAAGCAGCAGTGTAAACTCTCAGCAGGTGCGGTCCTAGAGGTACCGTGGTCTCCAGCTGGGGCGTCACGTCCACGCACAGGAGACAGCACCATTTCTCCCTGCCGTGTTGGAGCCGCCAGCCTCTGAGCACAGGCCAACAGCGACCCCTGGCGTCCATCCTGGGAAAAGCACTGGCTTCCGAAGCGTGTCTCCCGCGAGGTCAGACAGGTCTCTGGCAAGGCTGACCCCTACCTCTGTGGCTCAGGATCCGGAACCCACACCCTCAAGCCCGCCAGGGGAAATCCAATCCATCCCAACCATCAAAGAACCGGCTCCCTGGGGCCCAGCTGGCTCAGCTGGAAGGGAAGGGCTGCTCCCTCCGCCCCCATGGAAGTCCACCGGGCTCTCGGGAGCACTGGACGAGGAGCCTGTGAGCAGGGCTGGACTCGCCCGTGTTTGGGAAGGGTAGGCTTGGCATTACAGTCATCGTAATTCGGGGAGCTAAAGAACAGGGGACCCTGGCCAGGTGCCATCCCACGTCCCCAGGAGGAGGCTGGGCAGGGCTGGGCGGTGTTTCCAGGGCTGGCTGGTCGCAATTCCAGCCCCCGCAGGTAGATGGCAGCACAGGGTGAGGCCAGGGAGAATCCCCACCCACCCTCCAAGGCATTCGATGTCTCCCAGCTCATCAGTTAAGCAGGACCACAGCCTCTTGCTCTCACGCCACATATGTGGAAACCCAGGGTCCCTGGGAAGTGGCAGGGAAGATCACACAGGGAGACGCAGCACCACTCCTGGAAATGTGGCCCTGACTCCCGGGCCAGCCTGGAGCAGGAGGACACGCCGTGCCCTCTGTCCCTGGGGCACTCATGGAGCTGGAGAAGGTCCCTGGGGTCACAGCGGTGCCGGTGGCCAGCAGCAGGCCAGCTACCTTCCCTGGGACAGCCGGGGAGGTGGGGCTACAGCACCATCTGGGAGGAGCTGGGGGCCTCCATCGGCACCTTGGCCTCTGCCTCAGAGCTGCACCTCCGGGAGCAGAACCAGAGGAAGAGGAAGAAACCTGCAAGCGAAAGGCCAGGTGGTGGGGGCATTGCACGGCAGCCGGGGCCCCTCCCAGACCCCAGGAGCTGTGATGAGTGAGGTTTCCCCCCGGGGGGCCCCCACCATGAAGAACTCCCATAATCCCCTGTTGCTGGAGGCCAGAAGGGGCGGAGCCTCAGAGCATCCCCACCCCAAGTGAGCGTTAGGCAGCACCCCTCCTCTGGGCAGAGGTGGCCCCACCCCAGCTCTGCAAGTGGAGCGCACCCCCTCCCCCACCTGAAGGAATCCCTGAGGGCTTCCTGCAGGCGTCTTCCTGGCGCCTACCATAGAGCGAGTTGAAGATGGTGAAGAGGAAGAGCTGCGGCACCAGGAAGACGCCGAAGGAGAAGAAGGCCAGGGCCCAGGTGGTGCCCAGCAGTACGGTGAGACCCAGCACCAGGACGGTGTCGCGGCAGGCCCGGGAGCCCCGTGTCTTCTCCCGCGCCCGCAGCCTGCGCAGGGCCCGCAGGGCCCAGGCCAGCACCACCAGGTTGAACAGGGACGTGAGGCCGCCATAGCCCATGACCAAGACGCTGTGGATGGCCGGGCTCCGCAGCCAGCACCTGTGGGGGATGCAGCGTGCAGTGAGTGCGGCCTGCCAAAGCCGCCCCTTTGCTGCCTGCCTGACCGTGGGCGCTTGGCCTAGGTTCCTGCCCCTCTGTCCCCCTTCCGAAGCCCCCACGGCTACCTCCCTCACCACACCTGCCCAAGTCGTCTGGCCTCCATGGCTGGCCCCCTGCCACCCGGTACAACCTCCTGCTGGGTCACTGGCCCCGGGCAGGGGTTCCCGGGAACCTGCCCTCCCACGCCCACCATCTGTGCAAGGGCCGCCCATGCAGCTGCCTCTCCCTGCATGGCCTGGCCTGGCGGGTGGAGGGGCGCTCTGCATGGGCACAAGGCGGGCAGATGGGCAGCAGGCTGAGCCCAGGGCCAGAGAGAGGCCGGACTCCACCCAGCCCTGGCCCTGGGCCCACCCTGAGGCTGTGGGCCTTGCCAGCCCATGGCACCTGGCAGGCAGGAGTCACCATTCACCTAGCCAGACACTGTGCCATGTGCCACACGGGACCCCACGAGGCAGGAACACAGTTGTCCCCATCCCACAGGTCCAGAAACTGAGGCCCAGGCTGGGGGCACACCGGTAGCAGGCAAGGGTGGGACGCGAAGCTCCATGGCTGGAGCCCACAGCCTGCACCCTTAAACTGTCCCGATCAGTTCCTGCCATGCCTCCCTCCCCGCAGGGCTGACGGTCCAGGACATTACTGGGGGCTCTTCCTGGCTACTGGGCAGGCCGCTCTCGCACAAGGCCTTCTGCAGCCAGCAAAGGAGAGGCCCAGCCTCCCAGAATCCTCCCCGGGTTGAGCTGTGGCTCTGCAGCCCCGCAGCCAGGCCCAGCCTGAAGTGCGCCCTGGTTAGAGCCCAGCCCCCGGGGCCCCCCTGCCACTGCCGCCCGGCGGGTGCTCACATGGACACGTTCTGGAAGCCTGTGCTGTTGCCCAGGTTGTTGGCGATGGGGATCGTCTGGGGTCCGTACACGGAGCTCTTGGCAGCCAGGAGCAGCAGCACTAGCAGGGCGGGGAGCCCTGGGGGTGGGGGCAGGACAGGCTCAGGAGACCCCAGAGAGGCTGGTGCAGCAGAACCCCTGGGGCAGGGGACAGGCGGGGAGAAGCCGGTGACAACGGAGGACGGACTGGAGGGGGCAATGGGGCCGGGGGTGCCTGTGACGGCGGTGACAGGGTGGCGCAGGTGAGAATGAGAGTGGGGGCAACCGGGGAGGTGGGGCCGGGCGTAGTGACCGCAACGGTGGAGGTGTAAGTGGAGGTGACGGCGGCGGTGAGGGCTGGGGCTGCGGGTGGGGATGCGTTGTCACACAGGAAGTAGTGGCTCCTCTTGACAGGAGCGGTGGCTGGCGCGGCCACGCAGGGGTCACCGCGCGGAGGAAGGAGGGCGGGGAGGGGGGAGGTGCCGGGGAGGCCCCGCTCACCCCAGCCCAGCGCGCACAGCTTGAACACGTATCTGCGGACGTAGATGTTGTAGACGCGCCCGAGCAGCAGGTAGAGGTGGAAGCCTTCGATGGCCACCCAGGTGAGGCAGCTGAGCAGCGCGTAGTGCAGGCCGGCGGCCAGCGCCGTGCACGCAGCCCCGGGCGCGGGGCCCCCGGCCAGCGCCGGGCTCAGCAGGAAGGCCACGTTGAGGAGCAGCACGGAGGCGTGCAGGTTCACGTGGATGCGCGTCGTGGTGTCACTCTGCTTCCTGCGGGAGGAGCGGGACGCCCGGGGCTCACGGCGGCCCACGGAGGGCAGGGACCCAGCAGCAACTGCAGGCCGGGCACGGTGAGGCTGGGACCCCACGGCCCGCCCGCCCGAGGGCCACCCACCCACCCACCCTGAGGGACAGCGTGGCGCGGGGCGGGGCGCACCTGGCGTGGAAATGCAGCCCGACAGTGAGCAGCGAGGCCACCACGGAGATGCTGCAGCCCACGAGGGAGATGTAGGTGAGAGGCGCCAGCAGCTCCGCGGGCACGCGGGTGCCGGAGAATTGCTGCGGGATGGAAGCGGGACTGGAGGCCGAGAGCGCGCAGCCATCCACCCCGGCCTCCAACGTGGCGACCCTTGCTCCCAGCAAATCCCACCCCCTGCCTCAGTGCGGCTGTCCTCTCCCCACCCACCCTGTGCCCACAGGTGCACCAGCCGTGCCCGTAGCGGCCAGCTCAGGATGCGCACAGGACACACAGTAGGCTAAGACTCAGTCCCCAAGATCTGACCGGCAGCATTGGCTATGGGCAGCTCTCATTGCACTGGCCGGAAAGCGAGGTGGGCAGGAGCCTGGAGCTGCCGGCGGCCATGTTATTATCCCATGAGGGAGGTCCTGACTGAGGGCTAAGCCGGCTTCCAGCAAGCCTAGCAGAGGGGTATTGAGGCCCTGGATGAAGCCGTGCCTGAAGCCTGTTCCAGCTTTTTCAAGAACAGGAGCCCAGAAGTTGTCTTTCTATTGCGTTTTGCTTAAGCCAATTGGAGTTGCATGCTCTGTCCCTTGCACGGCTTTCTGTTTTGCTCCTCCCTGCACGCAGGCTAGCCGCATGCGTACCATGAGGACAGCGAAGTAGGTGAGGTGGTCGCATTGGCAGAGCACCAGGGAAGGGGAGGGAAGCTCTGTGCGACAGCCGTCAGGGCTCCAGGTCCCCCAGGGGCGCCCGTCGTCGCCCTCCTTCCAGAAGACACAGGTCACTGTGTAGCCTTCCTGGGGGGTGGGGGGTGCTGGGTCAGTCACAGGGCGCAGGGACCAGACAGGCCCGGACCCCAGCCCCACCTCCACCACGGGGGCTGAGGTTGGCCGGGCAAACTGCCAAGCTTCCCTGCGCCCCAGTTTAGTCGTCTGCAAAATGAGATCGCCCGTACCCACATCCCAAGGATAACAGCGAAATGAAAGGCGACGGGAACATCCAGCCTGGCTGTGGAATCAGGCCTGCGCCTCCTCTGGGCACAGTGACCGGGTCAGGGTCGGACATGACCCAGCCACGTCCCCTGCTTGCCAAGGCTGAGAAGCCAGGCCAGAGCCTGTTGCTGAGATGGCGAACCCGAGTCACGAGGACTGCATCTCAGTGCCTGGATCTAGCCATGCCTGAAGCTGGACACCCCCAGGTGTTTCATCAATACGAGCCAATGCATCCCCTGCGGTGCCTAAGCTGGCTTGCCTTGGCCTCCCAGTGCCAAAACAGGAAGAATACCAACAGATGCCGTGGCTCAGGGCCACACTCTGGCATTTCTTTGGCAGGAAGTGTGATGGAATCCAAAGTTTCTTTCCAAAACGGTCCTCTAGGTTCCCGCTTAGGCAGGTTGGTGGGCTCTAGGAGAGGCACTGGGGTGGGGTAGGGATGGGTTGGGGGAGGGGCACAGGCGGGGCTCCGACACTACCAGGCTGCGGTTATGCCAGAAGCTGATGTTGACCGGCTCCTTGAGGCCGTGCACGCGCCCGCCATCCAGCTGGGCGCCCACCACGTGGTTGTTGAGCAGGGTCGAGCTGTCGCCATCCTGGGAGGACAACAGTAGGAGGGCTGTGTGCAGGGGACATGGGGAGGGGGCCTAAGTGACGTCTGAGCCCCTGCCCCAGCCTCTCTGCTTTGCCCCTGATGCGGCCAGCGGGGGCCAGCCTCCCCTCCCCACCAGGAGGGGGCCGGCCTGGCCACCTGGAACATCTGTTGGGTGCATTCCAGCGCCAGAGCCCCCAGCTTACCTCCATCCTAGTTCTTTTTTCAGCCCAACATGGAAAGACCCCCTCTCCAGAAAGCCCCTCCCGGGGGCCCACGGGAACAGCCCCTCCCCATACACTCATGCATCCCTTTGTAGCTGTATGGTTATCATCAACTTGAACTCGGCTCTGAGAGGAGACAGAGACAGAGAGGGGGAGGGGAAGTTCCCAGGGCAGGGACCTTGTGCCTGGGCACACAATAGGCTCCTTAGGTCTCCACTGCAAATCACAGCCATTCTGCCAAAGCTGGTAGGGAAGCTGAGACCAGAGAGGGTCTGATCCCCCCAAGCCAGTGCCCACCCGGAGCCCAGGCAGCAGCAGGAATGTCAGCAGGGCCCCACCCTCTGCGACCCACCCTGCACTGACCTGGAAGAAGTGGGTGGTGAGGAAGTAGACGCAGATGAGCCGCAGACTCTTGGGGCGGCTCCTGCAGGCTTCCTGGGGTCAGCTCGGCGGGGAACTGCATGGAGTGCCCAGGCCGGGCCTGCGCGGGGCCACGGACAGGCTGAGCCTGGCGTCCACGGCCAGCAGACCCAACCCTGGCCCTCCACCCCGCGCTAAGCCTCCCTGCTTTACCACGGCCATCGCCTCTGTCGGAGCCTCCCCACCCGGATCTGGCCTCGACTTTGGGTTGTTTGCCACCCCCGACTGGGGCCAGCCGCGGCAGCATCCGGGCATCCATGCAGCTCCCCCCAGGGACCTGAAGGGAGCCAGCATCCCCAGCCTCTCCCCACTGCCGTCCCCCCGCCCCTCACCTCCGGACCCCTCTGCTGACTCTCACCCCCACCTTAGAGGGGCGGGGGACTCACGGCTGGTTGGAGCTGATTCCAGGTGGGGGCAGAGCGGGGGGTGGGGGGAGAGTCCAGCCCTTGAACCCCTAGAGGACTCCTGGGACAGAGGCAGCTGGTGACCCCACCCCCAGTTCCTCCGGTCACCTCAGACCCGGCGCACCTGTTCTGGAGTGGCACTGCCCAGCGAGAGGCCGGTGAAGTTGCAGCCCAGCCGGAAGACCAGGGCCTGGATGGTGGATGTCTGCACAGTCAGGTTGTGGCCCTGGAAGCTGGCGTTCAGCAGCATCTGCTCCAGCCGGTGCACATGCCTGAGGGCCAGAGCGGGCAGGGGCCAGGTTGGGGTGGACAGCCTGGACAGACGGGGCTTCCCCACTCCCACCCTCGTCACTCCCACCTCCTGACCACTGCCCATACTCTTCCCTTCCTATCCTACCCATCCCTTTCTGATTAACTTCTAATCAGGTCTCAATTTGTTGTCCTCTCTTCCAGGAAGCCTTTCCTGATTGCTCCCTAGCACCAAGTAGGTGATGTGTCCCCGTGCTTCCCAATCGCAGCTCCTAGCCCTGGCCGGTCACCAGCAAGAGCCTCTCCCCCAGAGTTGCTGGGTCTTTGGGTCACAGACCCTGGAGAGCCCAGTCAGAATCTTCGTGTCTCCCCCCTGCCCCCAGGAAAATGCACGGAGACCCTGCATGTGCTCCTGTGGCCAGGCAGCAAATACCACGAGGCAGGGAGGAGTCTGTCCTGCATCTCTGGAGCTGGGGCCAGGCACACATGAGGATGCAGCCAGTGCATGCATGGTTGAGAGACTGAGCACCGGGAGAGGGTGCGAAGCGACAGCCGGCGAGGAGGCCCCCACTCACTGAGCTGCAGCAGGCTGCTCCACCACCTCCATCTTGCGCATCTGGCTCTGGATTTCTTCTGATGATGTCTCTGCGTAGAGCAAGGGTGAGACTGCATCTCCAGCTGCCCCCAACCCTGGGCCTCCCAGCGCTCGCCCCCAGGGAACCTCACTCCCCCTCCCGCCACCTGCAGTTTCCCCGGGCCTGAGCTAGGATAGCCCCTCAGTTCAGGGGAGCCCAGTTACCTGTTGTCCCGCCCAGAGAAGTCAGAAGCCACAGGCAGAGGACAAGCTCCCCACAGCGATCCATGCCCCGAGCCCAGGTCTCCTCCAGGATCCGCACCTGCCCTGGGAAAGGCACCTGCCGTAACCATGACGCTCAAATCACGGCCATAACTTCAGGTGGCGTGCTCAGGGGTGAATGTGCAACTCCTCGCTACCAGTCCTCGCCACTCCTGCTCGGTTGTCAAACGACTGACTGCACTCCTCCTGCTGAACCATAGCAAGCCAGGCAGGCGCTGGCATCGGGGCCACAGCCCTGCTGGGGACACGGGCATCCCATGTCAGCGGCCTCGGACTTGAGTCCCAGCTCCGCTTCCGTTTCCAGCTTCCTGCTGATGCGCACCCTGGGAGGCAGCAGGCGAGGGCTCACGGACAGGAGTCCCTGCCGCCCGCAGGGAGACGTGGCTGGAGCACCCAGCTCCTGGCTTCAGCCTGGCCCAGCCCCAGGTTTGCAGGGAGTGAGCCAGCAGACGGAAGATCTCTGTGTGTCTGTCTCTGTCTCTCTGCCCTTCAGATAAATAAATTCAAAACACAAGAAGTGGCCAAAACTCCCCAAAACACAAAACAGAACAAAACCTTCTCCCCATGAAGACGACGGGGGAGCCCAGACGCCTTCGGCGTTAATTCTCCCACACGTGCAAGGAGCAAGGATCCCAGACAGGACCTTACAGAGGAAGGGCCGACCACGGTCCTGACTCGTCCTCCACAAGGCAGAGGCGGAAGAGCCGCCTCCAAACTCACATTAAGAGGGCAACGTCACCAGGGCCGCAAATGTCACCGGAAGGAGACCTACAGAGCGGTGTCCCCGTGAACAGAGGTCACACCCGAACCCAAAGCCCGGCGGGATGCGTGGTGGACAATGACAAGCTATTCTAAAAGGTGCATGCGGAAGCAAAGGGCCCAGAAACGATGCTGCAAAGGAACAAAGCACAGTCCCATGGGTGATTTTTTGACAAAGATGCTAAGGAGAGAGCGTAGCTTTCAACAAATGGTTCTGGATCGATCGAAGGACAAGGAGGAGGAGGAAGAAGAAGGGGTGAGAGGAGGGGAAGAGGCAGGGAGAAGGAGAGATCTGTCTCTTGTAGCATATATGAAAGTTAACTCAGGCCGGCGCTGTGGTGGGCGGGCTAAAGCCCCAGCCTGCAGTGCTGGCATCCCATATGGGCGCCGGTTTGAGTCCTGGCTGCTCCACTTCCGATCCAGCTCTCTGCTGTGGCCTGGGAGAGCAGAAGATGGCCCAAGTGCTTGGGCCCCTGCACCCACATGGGAGACCTGGAAGAAGCTCCTGGCTCCTGGCTTCAGATCAGCTCAGCTCTGGCCATTGCGGCCATCTGGGGAGTGAACCAGCGGATGGACGACCTCTCTCTGTCGCTGTCTCTGTCTCTACCTCTCTGTAACTCTGTCTTTCAAATAAATAAAATAAATCTTTTTTAAAAAACAACTCAAAATGGACCACAGATCCAAATATCAAAACTAAAACTGCAAAACTTCCAGGAGAACACAGAGGGGACCATCTTGCTGACTTTGGTTTAGACAGAGATTCCCTAGCAACAGCACCAAGAACAGACTCCATAAAAGAAAACAAAGTGGATGTTGAATTTCATCGAAATCCAGAAGTTGCGACAGCGCGAGGGACGGGGCAGCGGCTGCTGGAGGACGGGGGCAAAGCTGCGTCTCACTTCAGCAAAGCCTGTTCCCAGACCGCGTAACGAGAGCTCTCGCGACCAGGAGGAGGGAAGAGTTCACAGTCTGCACACCAGAAAATATATAGATGGCGAATAAACCCTTGAGAAATCACCCAACATCACTAGTCCTTCGGGAAATGCCAACGAAACCACAGCGAGCGAGATGTCACCGCAGACCTTCAGGGCTGGCGAACACGACCCCGAGTGGGAACACGAGTGGTGGGGAGGACACAGAGCAGCCAGAACTTCGGCCTTCTGCGGGGGGCAGGGGGTGGGGGCGTCCCTAGGGGGCATAGCCACGGGAAGACAGCTTGGCAGTGTCTTTCTCTCTCCTCTCTCTCTCTCTCTCTCTTAATTTGTTGGTCTGAGAGAGGGGGAGACAGAGAGAGAGAGATCTTCAATCCTCCAATTTACTCCCCACATGGCCACAATGGCTGGAACTGCGCCCATCCGAAGCCAGGAGCTTCTTCCAGGTCTCCCACACAGGTGCTGAGGCCCAACACTTGGGGCCATCCTCTGCTGCCTTCCCAGGCCATGGCAGAGAGCTGGATCGGAAGTGGAGCAGCCCGACCTTTCTCCCTGTCTCTCTCTCTCACTGTCCACTCTGTCAAAAAAAGAAGAAAAGAAAAGAAAAGAAAAGAAAAGAAAAGAAAAGAGAAGAGAAGAGAAGAGAAGAGAAGAGAAGAGAAGAGAAGAGAAGAGAAAAGAAAAGAAAAGAAAAGAAAAGAAAAGAAAAGAAAAGAAAAGAAAAGAAAAAGGCAGGCGCTGTGACTCAGTAGGCTAATCCTCCACCTGCAGCACCAGCACACCGGGTTCTAGTCCCGGTTGGGGTGCCGGATTCTGTCCCTGTTGCCCTGTTGCTCCTCTTCCAGGCCAGCTCTCTGCTGTGGCCCGGGAGTGCAGTGGAGGATGGCCCAAGTACTTGGACCCTGCACCCGCATGGGAGACCAGGAGAAGCACCTGGCTCCTGGCTTCAGATCAGCACGGTGTGCCGGCCACAGTGCGCTGGCTGCAGCAGCCATTAGAGGATGAACTAACGGAAAAGGAAGACCTTTCTCCCTGTCTCTCTCTCTCTCACTGTCCACTCTGCCTGTCAAAAAAAAAAAAAAAAAGGAAGTGGAGCAGCTGGGTCTTGAACCAGCGCCCCATGGGATACCGGCACTGCAGGCATTAGCTTTATCTGCTACACCCACAGCACCAGCCCCACTTCTAGGTATTTTAAATTTTTATTTTGTTTATTTGAAAGGCAGAGACTGAAACAGAGAAATCTCTCATCCATTTTTTAATTTCTTGAATGCCTGCAACAGCCGGAACTGGGTCAGGCTGGAACCAGGAGCCACAAACTTCATTGAGGTCTCCCACAGGGGTGACAGGGCTCCACCTACCTGAGCCATCCACTGCTGTCTAAAGTGCTCATTAGTGGGAAGCATTTGGTGGAGGGGCTCAAACCCAGGCACCCCCCAGTGGCAGCCCAGCCCCACCCCCGCTTCTGGGTGTCTGCCTGAGAACAATGACACCATCTATGCACACAAAAGCCTCCACATACAACAGTCACAGCAACTTCATTCCCAACAGCTGACAACTGGGAGCCAGGCAGGGATGCCGCAAGCGGTGAAAGCCCACTGTGGTACAGCCACGTGACGGACTAGTACTCGGCAAGGAAAAGGAAGGGGCGCCCCAACGGCTGTATCTCAGCATGCCTGGCGCTCCCACTCCCACGGACACCTGGAAAAGCAAAACTCCAGGATCGGGAGCAGCTCGGTCCTGGACAGGGGTAGGGAAAGATGCCGAGGGCCTGAAGCAGCTCCTGGAGGTGGGAGAGATGACCCATGTGCAGACCGGGTGGCACAGGAACACGTGGTGGCACGCCTTTGTCAAACGCACCCAACCGCTCTTCAAAGGGTAGATTTTCCTGAGTGTCTCCATAAACACGTTCAGAAATGAGCACGGGAAGACACGTGGGCTAACAGTGCGTCTCCTCTTGTGATGGAGAAAGTCCCCAGAGATCGCGACAAGGGAGACCACAGAACTCAAGAGCCCTGTTGGAGGGTAAGGCAGAGGGTAGCGGCCGGAAGCTTACACGCTGCTGCCAGACACCACGGCACCCGGTGAGGCAGGCACGGTCCTCCCGCCCCAGAAGCAAGAGTCCCAACCCCTGGAGGACCACACACACGGGCGACACAGTCTGGATGAGTTTTGACCCAAGAAACTCACTTTTATTCATTTATCCTGAGGAAATAGCAGGCCAAGCCAGGAATACTTGTCTGTGCATACAAAAATATTTCTAGTATTATCATTAATAAAGAAAATGTGGCCAGCGCCGTGGCTCACTAGGCTAATCCTCCGCTTTGCGGCGCCGGCACACCGGGTTCTAGTCCCGGTCGGGGAGCCGGATTCTGTCCCGGTTGCCCCTCTTCCAGGCCAGCTCTCTGCTGTGGTCCGGGAAGGCAGTAGAGGATGGCCCAGGTCCTTGGACCCTGCCACCCATGGGAGACCAGGATAAGTACCTGGCTCCTGCCATCAGATCAGCGCGGTGCGCCAGCCGCAGCACGCCGGCCGCGGCGGCCATTGGAGGGTGAACCAACGGCAAAGGAAGACCTTTCTCTCTGTCTCTCTCTCTCTCACTGTCCACTCTGCCTGTCAAAAAATAAATAAATAAAAAATAAAAAACAAGAAAATGTGAAATCTATGCAGATGGTTATCAATAGAAGAATAGCTAAATACATCACTGTTTCAATGCCACTTTGGCAAACAGTTTGGCAATTTCTTTTTTTTTTTTTTAAGATTTTACTTATTTATGTGAGAGGCAGAGGTACAGAGAGAGACACAGAAAGATCTTCCATCTGCTGGTTCACTCCCCAAATGGCCACAATGGACAGAGCTGAGCTGATCCGAAGCCAGGAGCCAGGAGCTTCTTCCGGGTCTCCCACGTGTGTGCAGGGGCCCAAGGACTTGGGCCATCCTCTACTGCTTTCCCAGGCCATAGCAGGGAGCTGGATGGGAAGAGGAGCAGCCAGCACTAGAACAGGCGCCCATATGGGATGCCGGCGCTGCAGGTGGAGGCTTAGCCTACCGCGCCACAGCGCCGGCCCCGTAGATAATTTTTGGCTTCTGGACTTGCAGGTGTAACCAGAGCAGCCTTCCGCGCTCCAAGGCTGGGAAGGAATTCTGCATTTTTCCCGGGACTCTCATGCTTTCATTCTCACGTGGCACTCTCCAGGCCGCTGGCATCGACTCCGGAGCCGGCAGTGAGACTGGATTCGGTGTTGTGTTTCCCCAGGGAGTCACCCATTTCCCCTAATGTTATTTTCATATAAATGCTTACTTCGAAAGAGAACTGGGGACGCCGGGGTCACAGCGTGCTGGGTTATCTGGTTGTGTGGTTGCTGCCCTGGCTGCTGCTGACATGGGTCATCTGCTCTCAGAACCTGAGAGAGCAGCTAACAGCAAGGGGCTGGGGAGACAGAGAAGCCACTGAGCGGATCGACTTTGGATATTTCAGGGGCGAGAACGGCGGCCTTCACGGCGAGGAATGACCTCTGGGTTCCCTCTGTACCACCAGGGACACAGAGGCCCAGACAGGGCGGGCATTTGGTCTCCAGGGCCAGGTGCCCAGAGCCTTAGCCACACAGCTCTGGGACAAGCACCGGGTAAAGATGGGGCTGACCACTGCCACCACAACACAACTGGAGAAATCAAGGCCAAGGCAGAAGTGACCCCTCCCCCAGCACCCCAGGCAGAAGCTGTGGTCTCCACCCGCTTCCCAGGAGCCAGCCAAGGTCTTCACTGCTGTGTGCAGCCCCTAGCGCGCCCTCCCCAGGCCTTCAGAGGGGCGGCCACGCATCATCACCCCCCAGCCTCGGCCACTTCGGTCCCCCACCCTGATATGCGTTACCTGGGGTCCCCTGCGAGGGAACTCTCTCCCCTGACTTCCAAGGTGGTGTCAAGGTTCCGAGGGGAACCTGAGTCCTACGCAAGACGGGTGTGTTCGACATTCTGCCGCAGGCCAGAGATCAAGCTGCGACCCAAACCCAACGCTCCAAACCCCAAGTCCAGTTTGCTATCCCCTGCCCATGGCAACCTCCCCAAAACGGTTGGGTAGTCGGGCTGCTGCACGGACAAGTCAGACCCGATTAGTCCAACAGCGAGATAGGAGAGGTGTGCAGGGCCGGCCAGAGCCTGAAAAAGATAAGCGTTTGACAGCCAGCTTCAGCAGTCACTGCCGGGGCTATACGACACTGGGCAGGGAACTTGACCTTTCTATGCCTTGGTTTTTTACATCAACATCAACAAGACCTACTTCCCAGGGAGACACTCAACCCCTGCCAGGCACCACACTTCTGCCAAGCCAGCCCTGCCCCAGGTCCAGGGCTGTGACCCCAGTTCCCGGCCCAGAAGATGTCTGAGCAACAGTACCCTGCCGTCCTCCCAGAGCCGATCCTGCGGGCAAAGGCCCACTCTCTGAGCCAGCCTTGTTCCTGCACACCGCCCACCCACCTCCTCCAAACAGCTACCCCTGCCCATCAAGCCTGGAGTTCCTCCCCAGCCTTAGGAAGGAGGGAGAGGTACTATCCTTGGCCCCATTTCACAGGAAAGAGAGGCTATGCCAAAACTCAGCAGAGAGTCTGACTACGTGGACAGCAGAGCCGTGTCTCTGAGACACAGTGGCTCCTGCACCCGCTCTGCTTACAGAGCACAGGCTCCACCCCAGGCCCCACACGGAGCACCTGACAGGCCCTCACACCCATTATCAGAAGAGCCTCATTAAAATAAAATTTATGGAACAGGCAGGCATTTGGGGAAGCAGCTTAAGCCACTGCCCCGAGACGCCTGCATCCCGTGTCAGAATGCTTGGTGCCAGTTCCAACTACTCCGCTTCCAATCCAGCTTCCTGCTAAGGCCCGTCCTGGGAGGTAGCAGATGATGGCCCCAGTACTTGGCTCCCTGCCACCCACCTGAGAGACCAGGATGGAGTTCAAGGCTCCTGCCTTCAGCCAGGCCCAGTTATGGTCACTGCAGGCATTTGAGAGTGAACCAGCAGATGGAGGCACTCCCTCTCCCACCCTCAAATGAAAATAAACAAATACATATTTTAAAAATCAAAAATAAAGATGGGAACACTGCGACACGGGTCCAGGGGCCTGCACCAGGCCCCGTGAGGAGCTGGGATTTGCACGCATGCCTAATGACTTCTTCATTGAATTGCCTCCACTTCCAAACACATGGATCCCCACAGCCCCTTAGGTTTGGAGCTGCACCCAGAAAGGGAACGAGAGGGAGTCAGCAGCTTGCAGCTCCTGGGACGTCATCAGGCCTGCGGCCCCCTGCCTATCCCCCCGCCCCAGCAGCCTGTGGGTAGAACAGAGAGGTGAGGGGCCCGGGCAGTTGGGGGGCTGACCTGGGAGGCTGCGCCCGCCTCTGGGCTGCTGTCCTGGCCGCTGGCCGCTGTGTCTGCAGGAAGAAGAGGAAGTCAGGACAGGCTGCAGGCGGCCTCTCAGCTCACCCCACGCCCTCTCCCCTCCCCTCTGCCCCATGTCCCCGCACTCTCACTTCACTTCTGTGGCCTGCAGCGGCCGCGTGGCTTCCTCTGGGCTGCTGGTCGTGCCGGTTCCCCTCTTCACCTCACCTCCGCAGGGCCTGCTGCGCTCCCTGGAGCCGGCTGCACCTCCAAGGTGGTGCCCCAGGACCAGGCAACCCCCACCTCAGCTCGTGCCCTGGGGCGAGAGACATCACCTCCCTGGGCCTCGGTCTCGCCAGCTACAGGAAAGGAAGAACGACAGACAGACAGACAGACGGTGGCTCTGGTGACAGCAAGGGCCTCAGGCTACGGCTGGGTCACACCGCTTGGGCACAAGTCCCAAGGCCACCATGTGCGGGCTGGGTGACTTGGGGCAAGTGAAGTGCTCTGTAGTCCTTTACCCCTCTGGAAGACGGTGGTGATGGCAGCGCCCCCTTGCGGAGCAGTGTGGGGTTTAGGCAAGGGAAGGCCCACGTTGCCGGCGCTCCGTGGAGCTGCAGGCTTTCCAGAGCACCTGCTGCCCGCCCGGCGAGGACCAGCCCCCAGCCCCGAGCTGCCAGGGCACAGCCATGTGGGAAAGGCCTCCCAGGGAGCAGAGCTCAGAAAGTGTGGCCAGAACAGGAGGCCGCACAGCTGGCCAGCTTCTCCCCAGGTCAGGGGCCTGCATGAGGCTGCCCCACAGCAGCCGCAGGTTGCAGAGCCCCCAGGAAAGAGGGGGAGGTGGTGTGTTGGAAGGGGAGCCAGGGCCCTCATACCTGGACCCATCCAGACTGCCTGGGGAAGCCATGACTCAGGAGCAGGCTCTTCTGCCCAGGGGTGAGGGGGAGGTACAGCCAAAGGAGAGAGCAGACAGGCCCTGGCAGGGTCTCCCTGGGGACTGCCCCCGTGCATGGCGCTTGCAGCATTGGTGCCAGCCTGGCCCACAGGTGGCCTCTGAGGACGGGGCAGGAGGACTGCCTGATGGAGGCAGCCAGATCCCCAGCAGCAGAGCTGCAGGGCTGAGATTTCCCAGGGACGCCAGTGCACCTGTGTCTCGACATCCTGGCCACACGGCCAGCACAGGACTCGAGGAAGCCCTTGCCCTCCTCTGCCCTAGGGTTTTCTTGCCCACAAGCAGAGTCTCCGTTATAGGGCCTTCGTTCTGAGCGCTCCGGCCACCTCCTTCCTGAGGCTGCGTGTGAGTCCGGGGCTGTTCTCAGATCCTGAGGACCCCGCAGCGCCTCCATCCCCCAGCCTGGGACCGTAGCAGGTGCACTATGCTGGGCCTCAGCGCGGAGGGCCCGTTACTCGGCCGTGGGATTCCAATTCGGGAACTCACTTCCAAGCTACTCCCCTGCTCAGAAGCGGGTGGTGGTTCCCGGTTGCCTTTGGAGCCTAACCCCGTGCAACTGCTGCTGCCACCCTGTTACGGGTGGGCTTCCCACCCTCACACCTCCCTCCCCGCTCTGGCCCCGCTGCGACAGCCCGGGCCCTGTGCAGCCCTCCGCCTCCTCACCACCCCCACACCTCAGCTTGAGTCCTACACCCTCCCCGGAGGCTTCTCTGCCTCCAGCTCTCCCACAGAACATTCTGGATGCTTAAGCTCCAGGAGACCTGCCAGCGCCCTATTCGCTCCCCAGCCAGGCAGGAGGGCCTCACAGCATCCCTAGGGTCGGGTCTCCCCCTGGAGGCTGCGTGCTCACCCTGGCTGTGTGCAAGAGGACCCGAGAAGGACCCCCAGCAGGACATCAGATGAACTGAGTCACGCCATGGTAAAGTCTCTGATTTTTCAACTCCTTCTCAACTGTGGCTGCATCTGGCAGAAGCCTCCGTGTAGGACCGAATTGTCTTCAATCCTTTCTCACACTGACGCCCCCCCCCTTCTTCTCCATCTTTTATTAGCCATCAATAACAATATCTCATTTAAAAATGCTGTGGCCATAAAACCATCGTAACATAAGTTTTACCATTTGGGCCACTTTTAAGTGTTCAGTGCAGCGGCAGAGTCGGGTCCCGCTGTGGTGCTGCCATCCATCACCGAAACTCTGTCAGCGTCTCAGACTGAAACTCCTGCCCATTAGACAAAAACCCCATTCTTCCTTCTCCTTGGCCCTGGCAACCACCGCTCTGCTTTCTGTTTCTGTGAACTTGACGACGAGGCACTTCCTGTGAGTGGACTCCCACAGCACCTGTCCGTTCGGGACATGTCCCCCGGGTCCATCCTGTGTTGTAGTCTCAGCGCTGCCTTCCATTTAAAGGTTGAACAATAGCCCACTGTGCGCACACGTGCACACTCGTACCATACGTCTTATTTTATGTATCCATTCACCGGTGGATGGACACATGGGCTGCTTCTGCCTTCTTTTTTTTTTTTTTTTTTTTTTTTTTTTTTTTTTTTTTACAGGCAGAGTGGACAGTGAGAGAGAGAGAGACAGAGAGAAAGGTCTTCCATTGCCGTTGGTTCACCCTCCAATGGCCGCCGCGGCCGGCGCACCGCGCTGATCCGATGGCAGGAGCCAGGAGCCAGGTGCTTTTCCTGGTCTCCCATGGGGTGCAGAGCCCAAGCACCTGGGGCATCCTCCACTGCACTCCCGGGCCACAGCAGAGAGCTGGCCTGGAAGAGGGGCAACCGGGACAGAATCCGGCGCCCTGACCGGGACTAGAACCCGGTGTGCCGGCGCCGCTAGGCGGAGGATTAGCCTAGTGAGCCACGGCGCCGGCTCTGCTTCTGCCTTCTGACTATCATGAATGATGCTGCTATGGACACGGGTGTACACATCACGTCCCTTTGTAATGGAGTTTCCGGCTGGATTTTTCATGACGCTTTGTTGGCATGCTGTTTGTTGCTGTGACTTCCTTCTATTTCAGGCACCTTGCACAGATGTCCTGTTTACTCTCGCGATAGGAAAGAGTCCCTTCCGGTAGCCTCAGGTCCTAAGAAGTAAAATGATTTCAAGGAAAAGAAGGGCACAAAGAGTGGGCATTCGAGACGCCCCTGTCCTCTGCTGAAGGGCCCAGGTTCAAGTCACAGCTCCGGCTCCTGCCTCCAGGCCCCACCAGTGCAGACCCGAGAGGGGGCTGGTGATGGCTCAAGTTATTAGGCTCCTGTCACACACATGGGAGACCCCGATGGAATTCCTGGCTCTAGCCCAATGCTGGCCATTACAGGCAGTTGGAGAGTGAAATCAGTGGAAGGGTTGTCTCTCTCCCTCTCCGTCCCTCTCCCTCTGCCTCTACCTTTGCCTCTCCCTCTCCTTCTCTCTCTCTCTCTCTCTCTCTCTTGCTTTCTTTAATCAAATTAAAAACCAAGAATACGAGTGGTGCACATTGGTGGCAAGCAGCGGTGACGCAGGAGAGAGTACAGCTGACGTGTGGGAAACACTGCACCAGCCCTCGGTCCAAACCCTGCCTCCTGGGGGCCGCTGACGTCACACAGGTGTTGCATTCAAAGAGGGACCTGGAGGTGTCGTTTTAGGAACAGAAGTGACAACGGCAAAATGTAGAGTCATTTCTGGGCTCTGGGCTCCGGGCCCTCCCATGTCACCCTGGGCCAGTCACTTGACTTCTGGTCTTCACCGTCCTCACCATGCAACACCCAGCTCATAGGGTGGCAGCAAACTGAACTTGGCCGAGGGGGAGCTGCCCAGACTACAGCCAGCACTCACCTCGGCTCCCACAGTCAGAGGGTGCTTCTCCCACTACCTCCTGCAAAGGACACCCCCAGCACAAGCTCACAGCCTCCTGTCTTGGCAGAGAGGGCCCAGCTGAGGTCTGCCATCAACCCAACCTCCGCCACCTTCATCCCTTTCCTGCAACGAGCTCTGGGCTCCTGGTCCCAGGCTCTCACCTGCAGGCTGTCTGAGGACAAGACAAAACCCCTCTAAGCCTTGCTTCCCCCAGTTCTATGATGACTGTGCCCTTGTCCTCTGAGCTCCCAGCATCTGCATCTCACAAGTCCAAGAGGCCACAGGAAACAAAGGCCAGAGCAGCCACACAATTCCAGACCGGCCACCAGCGCTGATGGGAGCCACACGGCCCCAGGGACAGCTGACGCCAGCCGGCGAGCAGGTGCAGCCCTGCATGTAAGACACGAAGCAAGTGAACGGACAAGCAGAACTGCGGGTCTTGCAAAATGCATGCTATCTCGCCAAATTCTCAGAAGCAGTATCAGAGGAACAGGGCAGCCGCCGGCCACAACATCTGGGAAGGAAGTGGCCAAGCCCTCCCAAGGAGAACCGCTGCCCCACTGAAGCGCGCAAAGTGACCCTTGGGGCTTGGGGAGGCCGTTGAAGACTTCTCCTTGCTGCAGGAACATGAGGTCGGAAGGGAAGGATGATCCCTCCTGGACTTTGTTGAGGAAACAAAGACTTCAAACATCAGCATTTGACACCTTCTCCCTTCACTCTAATGGGTCCTTGGCTGCAGTTAGGATCTGCTGTGGGCTAGGAGTGGTATCACGCACAGCTCAGCAGACTAAGCCTGCTTCCCAGGTCGGCAGGCATCCCATATGGGTGCTGGGTCCAGGCCCACTCGCTCCACTTCAGATCCAGCTCCCTGCTAATCCGCCTGGGAAAGCAGTGGAGGATGGCCCAAGTCCCTGGGTCCCTGCATCCACGTGGGAGACGTGGCAGAGGCTCCTGGCCCAGCCTCAGCCACTGTAGCCAGCTGGGGAATGAACCAATAGACGGAAGATATCTCTGACTGCCCCTAACTCTGGCTTTCATATAAAAAAAAATATTTAAAAAAGAAAGGAGCTATTGGTAACCTAGGGTAAAACTAACTTACCTTCGTAATGTTTCCTTTCTTTTTCTAGGCAAAATCTCAATCTATCAATGTTAGGACCTCGTTTTGGGGAGGGGTCTTTTAAACATGTCCACCTCAGGCGGCTTTCCAATGGACAGGATGTGGCGGGGGGCGGGGGGAACCTCAGACACCCTCTTCCTTGCCAGGACTGCAGCCACTCTACCCCCAAACAGAAGGAACCCCAAAACAGCTAGACGCCCGGGGTCCTCCAAGCCTCACTGCACACGGGAGTCTGCGGCAGCCGCCTCAGGTGCCCCACCACGAGCTGCGTGGGTCAACTCTGCGGTTTTGCAAATGGGGAAACTGAGGCCGGCTGAGGCCACAGGCCTGCGGGCCCGCGTCCTTTCGGTGCGGACAACAGAAGTGGGCTTGGGAAGCGCGCCCCACGTGTGGAGCCCGGGACCCGCCTGGAATGTCGCCGGCGCCCCGGGAAACCCGAGGCGGGAACGCCGAGCCCCCGCGGGCCCCCGACCCTGCCTCCGGTCCCCCCCCCGCCCCCGATCCCGGCCCCCACGCAGGGGTGGGGCCTCCGCGGGGTCTGCTTGGCTCTCCAGCTCGGGCCGCGCCCCTCGCCCCGAAGCTGGGCTACGAGGCCCACAAGTAGCCGGGGTCACCGCGGGGCCACAGCGGTGCTCGCGCCGGGGCCCCGCTGCGCCCGCCCCGCCGGCTCCCCTCCTTCCCCTCCCCCCAGGAGGGAGGAGGAGACTCCGCGGCCCTCCCTCGGCCCTCCCGGCGGCAGCCGCAGCCAGCCCCGTGCCCACTCCACCCAGCCCGGCGGGTAGGACGTCCGGAGCCCGCCAGTCCCGGCTCGAGGTGAGCGGGGGCGGAGGGCGCCAAGTCACCGCGGCTCGGGAAGTCGCTGCGGACCGCGCACCTTCCGCGGGAGGGGAGGGGTTAAGTTGGGGGGAGGCGTGCTGGAGGAGCGGGAGCCAGCGGGGCGCCCGCGGCAACCCCCAAACTTCGAACAGAACTTTCTAGCCCTCTCCTTTGGCACCGGCGGCTCTTGGGGGGGATCTCGAGCCCCGGGCCAGGAGGGGCTGCCGGGCGGCTGGGGGAGGGGGCCGCCCTTGGAATGCTGTGGGCTGGCGGCGGGAGGGGGCGGCGGGCGGGGGCGGAATTTGGAACTCTCCCGGGGGACCCAACGTGGTCACCATGGCGAGCGCGGGATGGACAGGAGGAGTTGGCCAATCAGAGCACGATACCACCGCCCCAGACCTGTGGTGGCTGCCAATGGGGGCGCACCAAGGAGAAGGTGGGCGGGACTGCCCCGCGCTGGACGGAGGTCCCGCCGCCCGCCGCCCGCCGATAGGTGGAGCCGGGCGGCTCCTAGGGCCGAGGTGGCCGGGGAGGGGTCGACCAAGTTGAAGGCCAAGGCGATTGAGAGTGATGGGAAGCAGAAGCTGATTTCTGAGTTAGGGCAGGTGGAAGGGCGGCTCCGGGCCAGGAGAGGGGAACGGGCCTCGGTTGTCCCGCCGTGGTGACAGTGCTGTTAAATGGCATCAACCACAAGACCCCTGCCCCATGGGGCTTCAGTTTCTCTACCTTTATGTGGGGTCGCAGCCCCACCCCCACCTCCCAGGAGTGTTGTTGGGAGTGAATTGGTTTGGGTTGGTTCAAGGTCTGCCCACCTGCTGGACAGAACTTTTAGGAATTCCTTTAGTGCCTCGTCCCATCCTATAGGTAGGGAAACCGAGGCCCAGAGAAGGCCAGGGACTCGCAGGGATCACAAAACATGTCGATGGCGGAGGGGGAAGGAGCTGGTGAGTAGTTTAAGGAGTTGCTCAGAGGGTTGGGGCTGGAGCCGAACCCCCCCTCGCTGGCATCCGCCTGCCCCTCCCCGCCCCAGCTGGGCTTGTCCCCTTGGCCTGGTGCCTGAGCACCCTGTGTCACAGGTGCCCCCAGGGGCATTGCACTGCAGGTAGTTGTGACCCAGGAGGGCCAGCGTCCAGTCCCAGTACTGGCTCTGCAGCTGGTCTGTGTGAGCACGGCCCTGGGACCAGCTGGCCCACGCGTACAGAAGGGATCTTGGCTCACCAGGGATCCAGGGTGTTGTTAGGGCTCCTGCGTCTGAGACGGGGGTACCTGGGAGCAGGCCAGGAGTGTGCCTGCCCTGAGCTTAGGTCCAGCCCCAAGGCCCAGCCCCCCTCCCGCGATCCCTCACGGTCCCACGCTGGAGGTCCTGCAGCTGGAGCCTGAGCTGCAGGTCAGAGGGACAGGTGCCCACAGACTGCGGCTGACCAGCCTTGGGCCCTGCACTTATCCAATCAGGCTGTCCATTGTGGTTTCCTGCTGGGCCCTGCTCCTGCCCGCAGCCAGGCCTGTGGCCATGGGCACAGCCCAGAGCCTTACCTGCAAGATTCTGGGAGGACTGAGGCTGGTTCTGAGCTGGGGGAAAGTTGGGGCCCCCACCCCTTCCCATCCCCACAGCTGGCCCCCATCCAGGTCTTAGCACTGCTCCCTGGATGTAAAAGACCCATCCAAACGGACAAAGGACAAAACACGGGTTCCTCAGGCAAGAGGCCAGAGCCGTGGGTGGCCACGAGACGCCCTCTGATTCTGACCTTGGCCATGGACAAACTCAGGCACCTGCCTGTCTCCGAGCCTGGCCCAAAACTGACTCCTGATCCTACAGATGGGCCAGCCCTCCCAGGCTCTCCCTGGTCACGAGGGGACTCCCGACATCTGGCCGCCTTCCACCCATCAGTCCAAGAAACACTGATGCAGGATGCTGGGCCCTGTGCTCAAGCCAACAGCAGCTCGGTGCCCTCAGGGATGGCACAGCGTGGCCACTATGGAAGAACAGGAGATGCCCAGTGCTTTGGGAACATTCACACGCTCTATACACGGAGATGACAGGCTTCCCCAGGGAGGAAGCCCTGGATGTGGGTTTTGAAGGTTGTGTAGGAGTTGGCTGATGGCAAAAAAGGAGCAAGAACCATTCCAGACAGGCTCCCAGGGCACAGGAAGCCCTGGTCGGGGCTGACGGAGCTGTCTAGTGAGTGTTGGATGAAACCTTTTCCTTTTTGTCCTGGAGCCGGCAGTGAGCAAAGCTGAGGGGCTGGAGCTGCGGGGGCTCCCTTGGCCCTCCATCCCACCAGCCAGCTTGAAGCATTGGGAAAGGCTCCCTGGGGCCTGGTGACTGGTCCCACCCTGACCTAAACCCTGGGGAGCGGTGACCCCTGGGGGACCCTGGAGGCCAGCCCTCCCACACCCGTACAGGAGAGCCTGGTGGGGAAGGGGCAGGCAGACCAGGCCGCTGCAGCCATGAGCTGTGCCAGCATGGCTGTTAGCAGGACTGTGCGAGCACCCCCAGGCTTATTGTTTGAGGGGGTGCGGGGCGCTGTTGCTAGGCAGTCTGGCTGCCCTCGGGTCCACAGGGGTAAGCTGACTCCTGGCGTGCAAGGGGCTAGGCTTCTCCAGAAAAAAACACCGCGGCCGTCCCTCCCCACTCCCCCCACCCCAGGTGCACACACCCTCTCCAGGGAGCCTCCCTGCACCCCACTTCCTCCCGGTCCCCAGGAGGGGCAGCTGGAAATGGGAGCAGGACCGACTCCGCAGCCCCGCCCCGGCTGTGGCGTGGGTGCCTGGAAGCCACCCGGGCCGAGGGTGGCGCCTGCCCTGCGCTGCCTCTCTGCACCAGGCTTGGGTTTCCTGGAAGGAGCCGGCAGCTCCCTCCCGGCCAAGCCCCATGCCAGGCCTGGCAGCTCGCAGAGGCAGGAGATGTGGCAGCGGCCCCCTCCCTGCCACTCTCAAGCTTCAGGGGCTGCAAGAAGGGCCCCGGGCAGACGGGGCCAGGCCCCCTCCCCCCAGCAGGGCTGGGACTCCCTTTCCTGTCTCCTTCTCTTCCCCTCCCCCATCCTAGGCAGGCCCTCTCATTGTTTTTCTTTTCCAAGAGCTTCTCCATGTGGAGCGGGGCCAGGAAAGTGGGGAGAGGAGGAGTGCGTGCGTGCATCTGTGTGCATGCGTGCGTCTGTGTGTGTGAGTGCGTCTGTGTGTGTGAGTGCATCTGTGGGTGCGTGCGTCTGTGTGTGTGAGTGCATCTGTGTGCGTGCATCTGTGTGTGTGTGTGCATCTGCTTCTTGCAGGCATGAGCATCTGTCTTTGTACCTGTCCGTGCGCTGGCATTTGCACTCCTTAAGTGTCTGTCTACATTTGGGCATCTCTGTGGCTGGTCTCTGGCCTACGTGTCTGGGTCTCTGTGCACACCGGATGGCATGTTTATAGGCAGGCGTGTCTGTGTGCACACTACGAGGCATGATGGCCAGACACCCCATTGCCCCCAGCAGAGGGCACCTGGTCTGCCAGAGGTGCCCGGGGTGTCGTTGGCATCCACAGTCCTCGAGCCTGGGTCTGTGTGGCTGTGCCTGGCCATGTGACCGTCCCTGCAGGGGTTAACGGGCTGGGGCCGGACATGTGAGTAATGAAACTGTGCATGCTAAAGACATCACCAAAAACTCAAGTGGCCCCAGCGTGGATAAATCAAAACACGATTCCAGCCGCACCCTCCCTGAACCTGTCTGGAGAGGACAAGACGGGGAGCAGCCCCTGAGGCAGGTGAACAGGGCAGCCCCTGATGAAGAAGCACTGGTCCCCCTCACACCAGCTCCATTCTGGGGGAACAGGCCCAGAGAGACGCGGTAGCTTATGTGAGGTCAGTGACAGAGCTGGCGTCTGGTGTGGACAGCCAGCTGAGCGGCGCTGGGAGCCGCGAGCCTGGTGGTCACGGCTCAAAAGCGACACTGCTTCAGGCTGTGGCCTGACCCCACAGTGCCGGGCTGTGCGTGCAGGTGGCCAGGGAAACCCCATGTGTGTCTGCGAGGGGGGAGACGAGGGCCATGGCGTGTGGTGTCCCAGTGGGCCGAGCAGACGGGGCAGGTGCTGGGGTCAATGGAGGGCGGCTCCTTTGGGGACTGGAGACTCTTTGAAAGCTAGAGGGAGTGACTCAGAATTGTCGCTAGAGAAGAGTCCCAGCTATGCAGAGTGACAAAGGGCACGGACACTGGCAGAGTCAAGGTCTGGTTTTTAAAAATTCAGTGGCTGGCGTTGGGCCACAGCAGGTAAAGCCACCGCCTGCAGTGCCAGCATCCCATATGGGCGCCAGTTCCAGTCCCGGCTGCTCCACTTTCCATCCAGCTCCCTGCTAATGGCCTGGGAAAGCCGCGGAGGATGGCCTACGTGTGTGGGCCCCTGCACCCACGTGGAAGACCCAGATGAAGCTCCTGGCTCCTGACTTTGTTCTGGTCCAGCCGTGGTCATTGCGGCCGTCTGGGGAGTGAACCAGCAGATGTGAGAGGGGGCCCAGGCAGGGGTAGCGTGGAAGAGGGGGACTGGGACCAGGTGGCAGCAGCACCGAAGCCAGGCACCCAGGAAGCTGCTAAGGCGCAGCCGGAGGGCAGGGCAACCCTGAGATCACAGCAGAGACCAGGAAGCTGGAGCGGCCGCGAGACCAGGGCGAGACAGCGCACACTGCACAGCAAGGCTGGCAGCTGAGGCCGCGAGGTGGACAGAGTGGAGACAGCGGGTGCGGACCAGTGTGGCTGGACGGAGGGGACAGGGAGAAGGGAGCTGGTGGGCAGGTGCTGGGAGGGGCTGCAGCAGGGTGAGGCCCCTGGAGAGGACCTTGGACCTAGCCGAGGAGGGTCCCTCTGTCCTCGCCCAGGGACGCGGGACAGGCCAGCTCCCCTCGCCGCTGCTGCCTGGGACATCAGAGCACTGCCTAGAGTGTGGGCACTGGAGATAGGAAGGGGTGAAGAGGGGACCCGAGGGTCGCCAGGCGGCCAGCTCATGTCCAGGATTGATGGTCCCATCTGCGGCGTGCCGGTCACTCAGAAAGGACACATCAGGGCCAGTGTCGAGGCGCAGTGGGTTGAGCTCTTGCCATGCCAGCAGCCCTGATTGGAGTCCCAGCTTCTCCCCGTCCAGTCCAGCTCCCTGCTGATGGCCTGGGAAGACAGTGGAGGAGGGCCCGCCCGAGTGCTTGGGCCCCTGCACCCGTGTGGGAGACCCGGATGGAGCTCTGCCTCCTGGCGTCGGCCTGGCCATCTGGGATGTGAACCAGTGGACGCAAGAGGTCTCTCTCCCCACCCCAGCTCGTTCTGCCTTTTAAATAAATCTTTTTTTAAAGAAAGGGCAGGCCTTAGGCAGGTGTGAAGCCCTGTGGCCCAGGGCTCAGCAGAGGGCCACAGTGGAGGGAGAGCATGGCAGGCGGGGGACAGAAGGAGCATCTGTCTGCGCGTGGAGCCAGAGGTGAGCACGTAGAAAGAGACAGGTGTCTGCTGGGGGTGGGTGGGGGTGTGAGGGGGCGGGGATGTCCAGCCCTAGCAGGCCGGCAGGTGAGAGGCCTGGACTCCAGCAGTGGCCAGTGCGTGCAGGCACTGAACAGATCCCCACTGGTGTTTGGATTTGGAGTCACATGGGCCACAAATGGCGATGATGGCTTCCCTCATCTAAAGTCTAAGAGCATGGAGGGGATGAACCCACCTAAGGCCCGAGCGTGGGCCTTCCGCAGATGTCATTATCGTGGGCGGGACTGAGCCAGGGTCTAGGATTCAGCCCCTGCCCTCCGCACACCCACAGCCTGGGATGCTGATGGGGAGTAGACAGGGATAAGTGGTCTAGCAAAGACTGGCTCTGTAGCGATGCAGGGGCCATGGGCCTGGCCTGAGGGCGTCCTGGGGGGCTTCTGGGAAGAGGCAGTAACTCACAGGCGTGTTATGGGTAAGAGCCCCTGCAGGCAAGAGAGGGGACTCCCACAGTTGAGGAGGATATGCAAGCCAGCCAATCAAGGTTTCAAGTCACAGCCCCTGCTACAAGGTAATGGGACGCGTGGAGGCCTGCGAGGCTCCTGCTTGCCAAAGCCCAGACACGTGCGGGATCTGCTGGAACGCACCTCACTCCCGCACCCGCGCACGCGGTGCCCGCTGCCGGGCGCCACACCCGCTGGTCTGACCATGGCCGCAGCATCACAGTGGTTGTGTTCTCCCGCAGGTCCAGGAGGCGCGCTCCACACCGTGGCCTGGAGAGCAGCGGGTCGCGGAGGCCATCATGCACAGTGGTGTCACGTCTGCCACGCGTCCCCCGCGCCGCCCCTGAGCCCAGCCACACGTTCGAGCCCAGGGCCCGCCCGGCCGCACCATGAGCCATGGGCCGAGCCCCCGGCTGGCCGAGTCCCCGCAGCTGTCCAAGGGCAGCCTCTTGACCATCTTGGGCAGCCCGTCGCCCGAGCGCATGGGGCCGGCCGACTCGCTGCCGCCCACACCGTCCAGCGGCACGCCGTCGCCGGGGCCGCCGCCCGCGCTGGCCCTACCACCGCCTTCCGCGCTGCTGGCCGACGGCGACTGGGAGAGCCGCGAGGAGCTGCGGCTGCGCGAGCTGGAGGAGGCGCGGGCGCGGGCGGCGCAGATGGAGAAGACCATGCGCTGGTGGTCGGACTGCACAGCCAACTGGCGCGAGAAGTGGAGCAAGGTGCGCGCCGAGCGCAACCGCGCGCGCGAGGAGGTGCGCCAGCTGCGCCAGCGCCTCGACGCGCTCACCAAGGAGCTGGCGGGCGCGCGGCGCGAGCGCCACGAGGCGCAGGGCGAGTGCGAGGCGCGCGGCCGCGAGCTGGCGCGCCTGCGGGGAGCCCGGGCGGCCGCCGAGCAGCCGCGCGGCGACGGCCCGGAGCCTGAGCATGAGCATGAGCCGGTGCGCGACGTCGGGTGCGAGAGGCCTCCCAGCAGCCAGGTGCGCGGCGAGGGGCGGGGCGGCGGGGCTGGGAAAGGAGGGGGAAGGGCCTGGCCCCTGGGAGCTGTCACTCCCTGAGCTGGGGCTGTATCACCCTCGGAGGTCCCAGCGCAGACCCTCCTAAGTTCTGGTGGGGCCTCCACTCTGGCATCTGAGACATTAACAGAACCAAGGAATCATCCTCTTGGGACCGCAGAGGGGTCCCGGGAAGTCTTGGGAGGAGGGGTCTCCAGGGCCCAAGGATCACAGAGGAGGTCCCTGACCCAGGCTTTGGGGAGGGGGCTTCAGGGCAGCTTTCCCGGAAGTGGTCAATTGAAGCTGAGACAAGGAGGTGAGTAGGAGTTCTCTATGAAAAGGACCAGAAGGCATTGGGGATGAAACGACCTGTGCAAAGGCCCGGGTCAGAGGAGGTTTGGGGGGTTTGGGGAGGGGCAGTAAGAGCAGCTCCCATCCCCCACGGGTGCCAGCACCCAGCTGGTGAGGAGTTGTGGGGGGCTGAACCCAGGTGGTCTGGCTGGAAGCGGAGGGGTGCTGAGGGCAGCACCTGCTCAGGCCGCAGGCCGTTGGCAGCAACTCCCTGCCCCAGGGGCAGGGCCTGGGCTCAGCTCCAGTGTGCCCCCAGCCAGGCCAGCGCCTCTGGGAAGCCTCTCGGCTGCCCGCTCCTCTCCCCTGCCCAGGCCCCACGGGTACTGGCCATCCTCATTAGTAATTTTAAATATCAGTAATCTGGGTGGGTTCTTGCTATCTGTTCAGAGAAGAATGCTGACTGTCAGCTTAAAATAAACCAGGTGACATGGTAAGTTTTTTTTTAATGTTTATTTAATGAAAGAAAGGCACAGGAAAGTGAGGGTTTAATTTAGGGGAGAAGTCTAGAAGCACAAGTTGTATCCAGGCAGAGAGCTGGCCGGGAGCCACGTCGAGCAAGGTGTGCGATTGAGAGCAGTCACAGACAGCTTGGTGCAGGCAGAGACGCGGCCTTAAGGGCCCACAGGGCTCCAGGCCTTTTGTTCATTTCCAAGGGGAGTGGTTATGAAGTCTGATTGGCAGGTGGGCATACAGGGGGCGTGGTCTTCCAGCTCCCGAGTCTGGTTGATTTAATCCTGTCTGCCCGCCCATGTCACCACCAGCGCAGTGGGCCTGGGGTGCGCACAGCTGGCTCCCAGGATCCGGAAGCAGTGCTCACTGCCCCTGTTGGGGCCTGGTGGCGCTGTCCCTGCAGTCTGAGTGTGACTGCGGCCCAGGCCCCCAATGCTCTGTGGCCCACCCGAGTCCCTTCCCTGCCCGCTTCCCGTTTGTGAAATGGGGAATGAAGCTGTCCTCTCCCGGACAGTCTGCTATACAGTAGAGTCTTCGTCCTCAGGGAATCCTTGGGGCCCCGTCCCAGTCCACACAGTGAAACCGAGGGACGCAGAGAGAGGGCCTGGCCCACACTCATGTAGGGAGGCCGTGGGAGAAGCCAGGCTGGAACTGGAGCCGTGACCAAGACAGGGCCCAGGGATGGGCTGCAGAGGCAGGGCAGGAGGCTGAGCCCTGGGCCGCTGCTCTCCCCGTGTCCTGTCTAGGAGCTGGTTCTACTCCCAGGTGCAACCACTGTGTGGCTGTGACCATGTCACCGCTCGCCCTGTGCCTTGGAAACTGGGATCTCAGGAGCGAGACTTCCTTCTGAGAGAATCTAACCTTCAGCCACTGTAGGAATCCCGGCTCCAACATCCATTCCCACCAGTGCTTGCATGCCTCCAGTGACAGGGAGTCACCATCGTGCCTGGGGAAGCTCCAGGATCCGGCTGACCTTGGTGGCTGGCTCTGTACAGTCCCAGGAAATGAGGGGGAGGCTGGGAGAAGGGCCTGTCCCTCCGTCTTCGGAGATGGACAGACACGGAGACCTGGCGGCCTTGTCCCGGGTGACCCAGCCAGCTCTTCCCGGCCCCGGGGCCCTGCGCCCACGTGGCCCAGCCCCCACCTTGGTCCCTGCAGGAGCTGGAGCTGATGGAGAGCCTCCTGCAGAGCAGACCGGAGGAGCCTGAGGGCTGCTGGGGGGCGCGCAGCCTGGGGCCCGGGGGCCCCCGGAGCAGCTCGGGCCGCCAGGAGCGCAGCCGGCTGCCCTGGGAGGACGCGGTCTCCACCGAGGACGATGCCTCCAAGCTGACCGCCCTGAGGCTGCGGCTGGATGAGTCCCAGAAGGTGCTGCTCAAGGAGCGAGAGTGAGTCTTGGGGGGCTGGGGGACAGAGGCCAAGGGGGCTGGGCGGGGCGGGAGCGGGACCCTGAGTCAAGGAGGAAAGTCAATGTCACACAGCGTGTGACTCGGGAAGGAAACAGGCTTACACCTTGGAACTTGAGAACAGAAGTTCTCTACTCTAGGATCCTATGACAGTTTGTGTCTGTTCACGCAAATAATACGTGAGGTGCACCTGCTCCAGGCCAGGGCCCTGTGCGCAGCCCTGGGAACAGAGCCACAAAGAAGTCAAAACTCTGCCTTTGTGGAGCTCCCGTGCTGGTGGGGCAGATGCTGTAAGCAGGGAGGGGGCAGGGACGTCTGGGGGAGGCTGCCGGGGCTTTGGGCTGGGAAGTGTTGCGGTCGATGGCGCCCCTAGAGATGGCGCACAGAGTTGGTGAGAGGTCACTGAGAGCCGTGACGGGTCCAGGTGGACGGGGAGATCGGAGGGCGGGCCCCGGGGACCAGCCAAGTTCAGTCTCTTAGAGGCAGGGGGAGGGGTGGAGGGGACAGGGCGGCAGCCAGCTCTGGGGAACTAGAGAAGCTTCCACTGAGCTGTTGGACCATGTACTTGGACCATGGAGGTCACCCATGACCTTGATGGGGGCAACTTAGCAGGCACAGGCCTGTTAATAAGGAGCATTTGGTAGTTTTATTGTCTAGAAATTAGATGCATGCATAGCATAGCCTATTTATAAATGCTCCGAAAAAGCACAATGCCTTTATGAAGATGAAGGCAGAGGTGAGGGTGTTGCAAAGCTGCCCACAGATCCCCCAGCAGCGGGGCCGGGGTCAGGGAGGGGAGGGGGCACAGCTCCGAGGCGGAGCCAGCCCTGCCCACACCTCGTCTTGGCCTTGTGGCCTCCAACCTGCGGCAGAGCACACGCCAGCTCTGCAAGGCACAGAAGTGAGCGAAAAACCAACCAGTGCACAGACGCAACTGGGAAGTAGTCCATGGGAACCCTGTGTACTGGGATGTGGGGGAGTCTGGGCACGGCTCCGGTAGGAGAAGTAACGCAGCAGTCAGGGTCTAGTCTCCATTGGCGTGGCCGTGGTGATGATCCGAGCAGCGGACGCGTCCAGAGCACGCACCCTGAGTTAAGGCCCCTCCCGGGACAGCCCAGGGGCGGCCGGCGCAGGTGTGTGGGGCTGGCGGCTCGAACACACAGGTGCTGTTGCTGTGGTGATGGGACTTCCCGGGCGTGCTGAGCAGCCTTTGGTTCTGGTCTGAGCAAAGACAAGCGCATTCCTGGGAAGGGCAGGGGCTGTGTGCACGGAACACCGGAGGGTCTCCCCTCAGGTCATTCTGCCTCCAGCAGTGTCCAGGGTGACAGATACTTCCTGGCTGGGTGGGGTCTCCCAGCTGTCACGGGGGGCGGGCCCCGCTGGCCCCCCCCACTCAAGGACCCCTAGTCTGGGATCACGGAGCGTGCCCCCCTGGAGGGTGCACTGCCGCCTCTAAGGGCTCCTGTCTGGGTGTGCAGTGTGGGGCCCAGAGGCCCGGCATGCTGAAGCCGAGCCATGGCTGCCAGGGCCAGGTGCCTGCTTGGTCCCGGTGCAGATGCAGAGTGGGGGATTGGGACCCCACACAACGATGATGGCGGGGGGCGGGCTATCCCTCTCAGAGTCCCTGGGTGGCGTCCTGTGGCTTTTCTGATGGCAGAAATGCATGTCTGCGCCGGACTGCACCAGGAGCCGCAGATGGGAGAGCAGGCAGGGACAGGGATACACTGGCCTTGACACATGAACTTGGGCCCAGAGAGAGGGCAGCAGGTGCACAGGGTGCCCAGTGCCCCGGAGACCCGATCGCCTCCCCACACTGGCACCTGTACTCGGTGGGGGCGAGCGTGGGCTGCGTCCCCAGGTGAAATGCAAAGAGAGATGCTTGCCACAGTGGGAGGGCCAGCACCTGGGTGCAGGCGGGGACCGTGGGCGTGGGCTCCGCAGGGGCCGCGTGCACAGGCACAGCAGAGCCACCCTCAGTGGGGACTGAGCAGAGGGCTCACCTCGTGGCCGTCCCTCCCTGTCCTCTCCCCAGGGACAAACTGGCCCTGAGCAGGAATATCGAGAAGCTGGAGGGGGAGCTGAGCCAGTGGAAGATCAAGTACGAGGAGCTAAACAAGACCAAGCAGGAGATGCTCAAGCAGGTGAGTCCTGGAGACCGCAGGAGGCTTCCTGGAGGTGGCAGCAGCGATGGGAGAGACAATGAAATTCATGTATTCATTCAGTCAACGGTTGTTCTCCCTCCTTGTGGAGGCTAAGGGGGCGGGTGGAGGGGAGGCACCAGTAGCCAGGCGCGTACATTCATGATTCGTGAAGGAGCCAAAGCCGGGTAAAAGGGATGGGGTGGGGGGTCAGGGAAGGGCTCTGGGATGGTGACGTTTGAGGCATGATCTAAAGGGGTGAGGAGCCATCCTGGAGGAGATAGAAGGTACGTGTTCCTGGCAGAAAGCACAGCGTGTGCAAAGGTCCTGAGGCAGGAACAAGCCTAGGGAGTGTGGGGCACAGAGGCAGCCAGTGCAGCTGGAGAGTAATGAGAGGTGAGACAGCAAGGGGCCCTTGCAGGTCAGAGTGAAGGGGAGGAGCCTGGACGTCACACTGGGTGCCTAGACGGTGCCCGCGGTCTCTGAAGCCTTGTGGCATCCAGGACACTGGGCCTCGCATCCCCTTGCTGCAGATGAGGACACTGGGTCCACCGCTGCCGTAAGGGGGCCTGGGGCAGGCTGGGCTGCCACCTCGGCCTCCTGTGCAAACTCCCCGTGGCCACCAGGGGGCGCAGCCACCCAGGCAGAGCCAGGCTGGGCTGGCAGGGTCTCTAGGAGGTGAGAGGACCCAGGCCTCAGAGCCTGAAGGCTGTGCCAGGCGAGAACTGCGGCAGCTCTTACCTGATAGTCTCACGGAGAACCCTAAAGTGCGGGTCCCCAGGCCCCTCTGCACCCTCCTCGGGGCTTGGAGGGGGGAGCTTGCTGTCACTCAGGAAGCGTGCCCGCTGCAGGAGAGGGGCTGACGCGCCGACGCGCCGCCACGCAACGTGAGAGCCCCTGCGAGTGGCGCCTGGCCCGCACCGTGATGTGCTGAAGGCACCTCCGTGTGCCGCCAGCAGCAGGGCCTGCCGGCTTCCACCGCCCCCGCCCCCCCCCCCCCAGTTACGGGTCGTGGTGTCCTGCAGGCAGGCCCCAAGGCGGGCCCCCAGCTTCCCCCGTGAGCACCGTCAGCTCCAGCTGCTCTGCCTCTGGCCCAGCCTCCTGCTGAGGCACGCCCTGGGCGGCAGCGCTGACGGCTGCAGGACCTAGGTCTCTGCAGGACACCTCCATGAGAGGCCTGGATTGAATTCCAGGCTCCTGGCTTCACCCTGGCCCAGGCCTGGCTCTTGTGAGCTTCTGGGGAGTGAACCAGCAGATGGAAGATCTCTCCCTGACCCTCTGTCTCTGCTGCCTTCTGCAGTGCCGGCATCCCATATGGGCACCGGTTCAAGTCCCGGCTGCTCCACTTCCCATCCAGCTCTCTGCTGTGGCCTGGGAAAGCAGTGGAAGATGCCCTAAGCCCTGGGGTCCCTGCACCCATGTGGGAGACCCGGAAGAAGCTCCTGACTCCTGGCTTCAGATGGGCCAGCCTCTGGCTGTTGTGGCCATTTGGGGAGTGAACCAGTGGACAGAAGACCTCTCTCTCTCTGCCTCTGCCCCTCTGTAACTCTGCCTTTCAAATAAATAAATAAATCTTAAAAAATAAAATAAATCCGGCGCCGCGGCTCACTAGGCTAATCCTCCGCCTAGTGGCGCCGGCACACCGGGTTCTAGTCCCGGTCGGGGCGCCAGATTCTGTCCCGGTTGCCCCTCTTCCAGGCCAGCTCTCTGCTGTGGCCAGGGAGTGCAGTGGAGGATGGCCCAAGTGCTTGGGCCCTGCACCCCATGGGAGACCAGGAAAAGCACCTGGCTCCTGGCTCCTGCCATCGGATCAGCGCGGTGTGCCGGCCGCAGCGCACCGGCCGCGGCGGCCATTGGAGGGTGAACCAACGGCAAAGGAAGACCTTTCTCTCTGTCTCTCTCTCTCACTGTCCACTCTGCCTGTCAAAAAAAAATAAATAAATAAAATAAAATAAAATAAATCAATAACTAAGGAGCCCACTGTGCCTGGAAGAGTGAGCTGAGGGGGGAGCAGGAGGTTCCAGGGCAGTGGGCAGGGATGCGCCCGGGCCCCCTGAGCAGCGCTGGGCTCCGTCCTGGCGCAGCTGGCTGCGAACCATCGGAGGGGCTTTGGGTGGGGCGGGATGTAGTTCAGCTCTTCGACAAGCTCGCTCTGGGCTGCTGCTGTGGCTGACCGCGGCCCAGGTGTGTCCCTGGCGCCCAGGCGCCCTGCTGGGCGCTGCCGTGTAACCAGGCGGGGGCGCCCTTGCAGCTCAGCATCCTCAAGGAGACGCACCAGGACGAGCTGGGCCGCATGTCCGAAGACCTGGAGGACGAGCTGGGAGCCCGCTCGAGCATGGACAGGAAGATGGCCGAGCTGCGGGGCGAGGTGAGGTGGCCGGGACAACGGGGCAGGGGCTCCAGGCCCCCAGCAGCTAGACCCCAGCTGTGCTCTGGGGGGGGGGGGGGGTGTTCCCCCCCCCCCGAAGCCCAGGAGGTCCCCCGCCACGTCCTTGGACACGGGGGCCAAGGCCCGGGGTAATTTATTACCCATGCGGGTGGGACTTGTTTCCGGGAACCCAGGAAAAAACCCTAGGGCAAGGGGGGGGGGCGTCCGGGCCCGGGCCCCCTGGGCACCCCCGTCCCCTGGGGACCCTCACTCTGTCCTGCCCCGTTGCAGATGGAGCGGCTGCAGGCTGAAAATGCGGCCGAGTGGGGCCGCCGGGAGCGGCTGGAGACCGACCGGCTGGGCCTGGAGCGGGAGAACAAGAAGCTGCGGGCCCAGGTCGGCGACCTGGAGGAGGCGCTGGCGCGGCGGCGACGGCAGTCGGCCAGCGCCCTGGACTGCGACCTGCGGGCCAGCCAGGCCGCACTGTTCGAGAAGAACAAGGTAGGGGCCCCGGAGCGCCAGCTCTGTGCCCAGCCTGGCGGTGGCCTCGGGAGCTGCATTCATTGTGCACCTGCTGTGTGCTAGACCAGGTGGTTATTGTAGCAGCACCTGCTGTGTTCGCGGGCCTGTTTTAGCGGCTGGAGACACAGCAGTGGACAGATGTGGAGCTGACGGCCCAGGGGGTGCCGCCGTGGCTCCCTCCATTACATGGTGCCAGCGATCACACGGCTCCACCATTGGGCCAGGCACAGCGGACACCAGGGGATCCGGCTGAGGCCCAGGGTCCTGGAAAGGCTTCGGAGAGGCAGAGGCATTGAGCAGAGATCTCCAGGAAAAGCTGACATTAGCCAGGGAGTGAGCAGATGTGGGAGGAGGGGGGTGCAGCGGACCAGGGAATAGCATGAGCAAATGTCCTGTGGTCAGAGCTGCATGAAGTTCTGGAGGAACGAGGCGACCAGAGTGGCTGAGGCGGCTGGGTGAAGGACACAGGGTGGCTGAGGCAGGGGCTGCGGCCGCCTTAAGGAGCGTAAAGCAGGAGGTGCATGGGAGCGGACAGTGTGCCCAGCGCTCACCGGCTGCCAGGGGAAGCAGCTCCAGTAGGCAGGCTGCTGGGGGCTGCTGCTGCCCCCAGGGGAGCACAAGGGGCTGGACACCTGGGCTAGGGTGAGGTGGGTGGAGATGGACTGAAGAGGCCAGATGCTTGAGCTCTTTAGGCCATGCCTACCCCCATTTTACAGATGGGAACACTGAGACCCAGAGGCCCCACAGAGCTTGGAGATCGGCATCTCCTCTACTGGCTGCTCATTCCCTTCCCAGCCAGCCCAGTCTGCTCCCTTTTCCTCCCATATCCACTGCCCAGCTTAACTCACCCCCACACCCAGGGCTTTAAATGCTGCCTGTGCACCACCGAAGACTCTAGCCCTGCAGAGGTCCTGACTCCGCCCCAGCAGCCTACGGGACGCACCATGGCATAGCCAGTCGGCACCCGATCCGCTGAGGCAGCCTGCCCCCTCGTTGCCCGGCCGCCTCCCCAAGTGGCGCCTGTGACCGCTGGCAGCTCAGCCATACCTCTCGCTGCCCTTGCCGATGGCAGGCAGGGGGCCGGGGTGGGGGGAGAGACGCCCGGTGCCCTGTGCGCCCCTGAGCTCCCCCCGCCGTGCCCCCCCCCCCCCCCGCAGGAGCTGGCCGACCTCAAACACGTGCATGGCAAGCTGAAGAAGCAGATGCAGGAGAAGGTGGCCGAGCTGGCGCACGCCAACCGGCGCGTGGAGCAGCACGAGGCCGAGGTGAAGAAGCTGCGGCTGCGGGTGGAGGAGCTCAAGAAGGAGCTGGCGCAGGCGGAGGACGAGGTGCGGCCGGGGCCGAGGGGGCCGAGGGGGCCGCTCCGAGCTGGGCCCCTGCGCCTGGCAGGAGCTTGGGTGTAGTGGGCCGCAGGTGCATGGCAGGAAAGGTGTGGGGGCCGGGGGGAGAAGCAAGCAAGCAGGTGGACGGTGGGCGGGGGGTGGACGGAGGTGTGGGGTGCATGGAAGGGCAGAGGCGGCCTGCAAGGATTGGGGGCCGGGGGAGGGGCGGGGCGGGTGTATACGCACCTGGCTGGCTGGACGGGTGGACGGGGGCACACAAGCTGGGTGATGGAGCGGAAGGAGGCATGGACCGCGGGAGGCTGGTGGGAGACAGGTGTGTCGGGCAGGATGGGTGGTGGCTGATTGTGTTGATAAATGACGACACAGGTGCACAGATGGGTGGGGAGAGGGGTGGCTGTTTCTTGATGGCTGGATCTGTGGTTTAGGGCGTTAGAGGGTAGGTCGATGGCGTGGGAGGGCAGCAGAGATGGGGGAGGGGGCAGCAGAGATGGAGAAGAACGGGAAAGATGCTTCCTGGAGGAGGCGGGCCTCGGGCCAGCCCACAGGGAGCACATCCCCAGAGATGGGGAGGGCCTGGGTGCTGGCAGGCTGGGCTGCCCCCAGCCAAGGCATGCTCACGCTCTTGCCCCTCACCCACCCCACCCACACAGCTGGACGAGGCCCACAACCAGGCGCGGAAGCTCCAGCGGTCGCTGGATGAGCAGACAGAGCAGAGCGAGAACCTGCAAGTACAGCTGGAGCACCTGCAGTCCAGGTGGGCGGGGCCCCAGAGCCAGCGCAGGGACCTCTGCCTGCCCCCTGCCAGGATCCATCCCTCTGCAGGCAGGAAACCAGGGGTGGGGGTGCAGGAAGACAGGCGGGGTGGGGGTGGGACCTGGAATTGTCTCCTTCAGCCCGTGGCATGAGGACAGGAAGAGCTGCCCAGGAGGTCAGGCCCAAGGGCTGGGACAGCGGGCCTGGGGAGTCACTGATGAGAACAAGGGGCCTCCAGGGTCATGGGGCTGGGGTGACCCCAGGACGGCAGGGCCCCAAAGGGTTGGAGGGTGGCACCCACCCAGCTGCCTCCCGGCTCATCAGCCCGGGCCGCCCTGCCTCCGGCCCTGCCCTCCGGCCCTGTCCTCCGTCCCTGTCCCAGCACTCTGTGGACCCCACCCTCTCCCTGCGCCTGCACCAGAGCCGGGGGATGGCCCAGAACTTGAGTACGCCCCTCCCTGGGCAGCGGGCCCTGGCCGAGCGCGCCCCGCCCTCTCTGCCGGCTGCCTGGCTCCGCTTAGCGGCTGTGGGGTCCCCGGACCCTGACCCCGCCTCTCTTGTCAGTTTCCTCAAGCACACTTCGAGAGGCTCATGGCGCATGCTCGGTGCTCCTGGGGAGGGGGCTTAGCTGTGGGTTACTCTCGGGGGCTACAGATGGGGAAACAAAGGCCAGCATACCCCCTGCCGCCGGCCTTCTGCATCCTTGTCCACTGAGCACTGGTCACTGACTCCGCAGCAGTGCGCCCGCCGGCCGGCCGTGACGTGGCCCGCGGAGCCTCAGCCTCCCCCACCTGCCTGCGATGGTGCCCAGAGCGCCAGGCCCGGGGCCAGGTCGGGTTCGAGGTCCGTCTGTGCCCACTCAGGCTGCTGAACCCCGCTCACCAGGAGCCGTGAACTCCTGGACTGGGCAGGCGGGCTGGGGGCTCTGCTCAGCCCAGCAGGCCTGCTGCCTCGGTTTGCACTGTCGTGTCCTGGGGACAGCTCACTAAATCACCGGCCCGTAATGCAGGCCGGCCAGGCCCCTCCCTGCCTGTGAATAATTCATGCCTTCCAGTAAGGTGCAGCCCGCAGCCACGTTCCTCCATCAGCTCCTCTCCCAGGCCAGGTTGGCCTCGGAAATTGCAGCTTCAGGACCTGTAACCAGGGGCAAACTAGGGCTGGGTCTGGCTGCGGGCGAGCAGAGGGGGCTTAGACCCCTTCGCCTCTCAGCCCCCGCCGCTCCCACTGCCAAGCCCGGCCTCCCTCCCTGGTGTCTGTGTGACCTGGGGCAAGGCGCTTGGCGTCTCTGGGCCCAGTCTCCTTGTCTGGGGCCGGGGTGTGATAGCAGCTGCATGGGCAGTGGGAGAACCGGTATAAAAGGTGTGCGGGGTGCCAGCACCGCGGGGCCATGCTCCCGCCCTGACCCCTGCCCCCACCCCCACCCCCACTCCCACAGGCTCCGCAGGCAGCAGCAGAACGCCCCGCTCTTCGGGAAGATCCGCAGTGCTCGCTTCGGCGCCGAGGAGGCCGGCGATGGAGCCAGCGACCTGGACGAGGACGAGGACCTGCAGATCCAGGTGGCCTAGGGCGGCACTGGCCCGAAGCCTCGGGCCCCTGGTGGCCCCGGCCCAGCGGCCACTCAGACTGACGGGGCTGCCGGTGCTGGTCCTGGGACCAGCCCCCTGCGACCCCGCGTTCCCCAACGAGGGCGGCCGCTGTGCCCCCCGCTGCCGCCGGATTTTCAGGTGCACGACCTGTAGTACCCTGCGTGTGTGCCAGGGCGCCTGGAGCCCGTTCGCCTTTAGAACCACAGGGGCGGTCAAGGCCCAGTGCAGGTCACCTCACCTCTCCCCCTCCCAGACCCACGCAGGGCGGAGCTGGTCGAGGGAGGGCTGCCCTCGCCCCCGTGGGATGGGCCCAGTCTTCTGTAATAAATCGAATTCGAGTTCTCAGGGCAGAGTCCTCACGGTGGAGATATGGGGAGGAGGCTGGAGCGGGGGCAGCATCAGCCTGCACTTGGCACAGAACCAGGAGTCTGGCCCATGTAGTGAGTGAATGAGTGAGTGAGTGTGGGGAAGAATGAATGCATGGGCATCCGCTGCCGAGGGCTGGGATCTGTTTGCTGTGAGGGGAGGAGGTGCAGGTCCCACCGGGAGAAGAGGGGACTTCATGCCCAGCGCCTGACGGATTCTCTCCTCTGCCCCTCCCTGGCTATGCAACCTCAGGGCAGTGACTTGCCCTCTCTGAACATCCGTTTCACCACCATTACATTAAGCCGTCTCCTGGAGAATCTGTTGTGTTAACCCAGGGCTCAGCGTCGGGTCCCCGTTCAGATGCCTGCACGGGAAGGGTTTGCAGCTCCAAGCAAGAAGGGGAGGGAAACCACGCTGGGGACTCCCCCTTTCCCCCGGGCCAAGGCCAGTCAGCAGAAAAAAAAAAAAAAAAAAAAAAAGACCACTTCTGCCAGGGCTCCGTGTGTTCTGTCTCCCAGATAGGAAGTTGGCCCCAGCAAAGGCCGACCACACTGCCCTTTGCCGAGAGCCACCTCCGCAGGCCCCCTCTGGCCCTGCCGGCCCCAGACACAGAGCAGACCCTGTCCCGCGGCCCCAGACTCCCTGGCACCTCCAGCAAGATAGCACTGAGCCAGGCCGCGTGACAGAGCCCTGTCCACCAGTGGCCAGCAGCGGTGGGGTGTGCGGCAGGGCGGGGACAGGGTCTGCCTTCCACCTCCGAATCCCAGGGCCCAAGGGTTCTCCCCACCCCCACCCCAGGCCTGGCACGCAGCCCCGGCCCTGCACCTTCATGACTCCCCATTACCTCGGCTGCAGTCAGCCCGCGCTCGCCAGCAGCACCTGCTAACAGAGGTGCCAGCTGTGGGCCCCGTGACGCTTCGCACAGGATCCGAAATGTGTGGCTGATGTTACCGACTGGAAGCTTTCCCATAGAAATGTGGGTTTCCCTCTCGGGCTCCCATGTGGCCACAGCTGCCGGGCTGAGAGGTAGCTGCTCCCGGACACAGCCACAGCCCCCGCTATTCCCTGCAGCCTTGCCCCACACCTGCCCTGCTCTGGCCCCTTGCGGTTTCTCTGAACAGTGAGGAGCCCTGAGTAACTGAGAGGGGAGGCGCTGAGCCCAAGTCCAGAGGAGTTGAAGTCGCGGCCAAGCACGCATGGCTGCAAACTCCTGCAGGCTTGGTTGCCACAGCGACACCCATGAAGAACCTCACTGCTCACTGAGCCTCCCGTGCGCGGGCATCATCTCACCAAGAGTCCCCATAGCCCGGTCACGCAGCTGCCACCGTCACCGTCACTGTCCCGTCGGGGGCTGAGCCTCCAGGGGCTCAGAGAGGGCAAGAAACTTTCCTAGGGCTGTGTTGCTGATGAGTCGCGAAACTGGGATCCCGGGGCTGGCAGTCAGAGGCCACGGCCCAGGCTCCTGGTAGAGACCTTTTCGGCAGTACCGGCAGTACCCTGTGAGGTACCTGGCCTCTGCAGCCCCCAACCCCTCCCGCAGCTCCAGGCAGGCGGAAACCCCCAGCCACTGCCCAGAGCTGCCCCTCCCCCACCCCTGCCCCACCAGCCCTTCCCAGCTCAGCAGCAAGTTTATTCGCAGTCGACTGCTTGTCTTCCGATCCTGGCGAGCGGGGAATCCTTCCACCGTGCCCTGGGCTCTGGGCATCCTTATGTGTTGGGAGGGAAGGAAAAAGGAGAGAGATGGACAGGTGGATGGCAGGAAGGTTGGCTGGGCAGGCGGGGGCGGGGGAGTGGTAAGGGATGGCCGCCAGAACCCCGGCCCCCGCCCACTGCACAAGTTGGCAGACCAGTCCCAGACAGAACTTCCTGCTGCTCAGCAAAGCCTTGCCCTTGAAGGGAGCAGGCAGTCTGGGCCCGAAAGCCGCAACAGCCCAGGGCCAGCGGTGCCAGCGCGCCTCTGCTCGTGGGCAGGCTGGAGAACCGGCTCGCCCGGCCCCGCCTCCCCCTGCCCTGTGAGCGCTGCCTGCCCAGGGGCCCCGGAGTCTCCTCTGCAGCCAAGGGCATTTAGCCCAGCCTGAGCACCAGGCAGCCCCCAGGGCCCCCTCCTTGGAAGTCCGTGCCCAGGGGGGAGCCCTCCACACAAACCCGGCTTCCAGCCCAGCCGCTATGTCTTCAGCAAGCTTCTGTCCCTCTCTGGGCTTTACTTTTATCATTTGTAAAATGGGGACAAGAACAAAGCGGTTGTATAAGTGCACCCTAGCATGTGACGTCACTGATAATGTTCTCTTTCCGGCTTTCCTCACTGCTCTGCGTTCCCCAAACCCCTCCAGCCACCCCGAGCCCCCCTTGTGGGGCAGCGGGGAGGGGGCTGGGCAGCGGCAGCACCCAGGAACCAGCTGCAGCTCTCAGCCCGCCGTCCCCTCCGCCAGCTCCACCCGCTCCTCCTCATGCACTAATTGCAGGGTTGCCAGGTGCCAGCTGCCTCCCGGGCCCGGGCGGGCGGGGCGCCTCCCCGTGGAGCAGCGGCTCCGGCTGTCTCCCTGAAGAGGTGGAAACACAAAGTCTTCCTCTGGGCTTTCCTGTTTCCCAGGCTTCCACTCCGTGAGAGACACCCACCCTGGCCTGCCCCTCCCCCAGCCAAGCAGGGCTCTCTGCGATAGAAATCAACTCCCACTCCACATCCCGCAGCCCCCAAGCTCTCTCAACTCCCTGGTGCTCTGTGCTGAAGGCCAGACAGGCTCTGGCTGCACCCCCCCCCCCGCCTCCGGCTTCCCCTGACATCGTCTCTGCACCTGCCCCGCGGCCTGAGCACTGGGGACCTGGTCAGACCGCAGGCCAGACGGCCCTGCGGGGATGTGGGGGGCGGGAGTCCTCCCCTCCCAGAGTGCCGGCTGGTGGCAGGGCTCCCACCTGCGGCCCCTGAGTCCCACGGCAAAGCCGGGCCCCTCTTCACCTTGATCTTCCACGGCCTGGGAGCTGGACGATGGCAAAATGAGGACCTGAGGCCCAGGGAGCAAAGGATCCGGGAATCAAGCCCCGGTGGCCGCGGGGCCGGGCTCGGCCATGGCACAGCCCCGCCCTGGACTTATGTGCAAAGGAGGGGAAAGCCTGGGCTCCCACAACTCTCCCCAGGCACTCTGCCCCCAGATCCTCTGCCAAGCCCTGTGCCAGCCTCACTTGGTCCAGGTGGGTGCTGGGATCTTCAGCACCCAGATGAATAAACGCAAGTCCGGAGAGTCAGGGGGCTCATCCGGGGCCTCTGGGAATCCTCAAGTCCCCTAGTCCATGGCTCCACTGTGACACCAGAGAGAGAGCAAACACATGGGGGTTCACCTACACCCCTGACTAGGCGAGAGGCGCCGTTCCCTGAGCCTCAGTTCCCACATCTGTAAGCGGGCATCGGGAAGCATGTGGGTGACGCCTGCCGTCGCGCTATTGTCCCCTACACAGGCAGGAGAGAGCACTGTCCATGCCAGCACGGGCTCCCTGCCCAGACCTGCCGCTGCTGCACGAACCGCCCCGCCCTGCCACTGTTGCCGTTCATTTCTCAACTATGTTGCAGTGGATTCATTTCTGAGAGGAACAGCCTGGTGGGGGCAAGAGGCCCGGAGGCACCACACAGACCCCGGGAGGGAGTCGGGTGAAAGCAGCCTTGAGGGAGCAGCCGGCAAACTCGTTTATTTCAGTTGAAACTACATCTTATATAGCCAAGACCAGCCAATCTAGTCAAGGGGCGGTCTATGCCCCATCCAATCACAGCCTGCTGCCAGGCAGTTTCAAAGCCATCCAATCACAGCCTGTTGCCAGGCAGGCTCTATTGCCAGGTGGGTTTCAAAGCCATTCCTGAGTAACTGACGCTCGCTTGCCAGTGGCCACTTTGGCATGGCCTTCTCATTCCACCACATTTCCCCCTTTTTGTTAACCGCCTGGCAGCAGGCTGTGATTGGATGGTTTTTTAAACTGCCTGGCAGCAGGCTGTGATTGGTTGGGGCATAGACCGCCCCTTGACTAGATTGGCTGGTCTTGGCTATATAAGATGTAGTTTCAACTGAAATAAACGAGTCTGCTGGCTGCTCCCTCAAGCCTGCTTTCACCCGACTCCCTCCCGGGGTCTGTGTGGTGCCTCCGGGCCTCTTGCCCCCACCACGCTGTTCCTCTCAGAAACGAATCCACTGCAACATTGTTGAGAAATCAACGGCAACATCTGGCGCAACAACCTGACTGAGAGAAAAGACAGCGTGTGGGCTCCGCGAGGTCCCCCCGGAGTTCGGCAAGAAGGCCCCTCGGTGTTTTGTGTGCTGTTGGGTTCTGTGAGGGTGAGCACAGAACCCCCTCCTACACCCCTTTCCTTGTCCTTGTCCTCGGTCTAAGTGACCCCAGGTTAGGCACACACCGCCCTGAGGCGTACGTGGCTTCTCGGCTCCTCCTTTTACTTTGGGTTCGCCCGGCGAATTCACATAAGGGACTGATCATCCCAGAATTCGGAACCACGTCGTCTTTCCTCACTCGAGAGAGGTGACGCTCCGGAGACACTGTGTGGGCATACGGCCTTGACCTAACGAGTCAAGGAAGTCCCCCAGTAAGCATAGGACATACTTAGGATCTGATATACCACTATCTGTTTGTCTAACGTAGGGAAACCTCCTGCAAAATGCCATCAACAGCTGAGGTGCTAGGAATTTAATTTGTTATGGCAGCAGTGCTGTGCGTGTCTTTCCTTTGGCTAGAGCTGGCATGCCGTGCCGCTCTTAAGCGCTCAGACATGGGAAAGATAGCCCCCTCTCGGAATCCTGCGCAGATTATCAAACATAGTGAATCTGTGCGTGATAAGAGCCTGACACTCCAGGTCCCTGTCTCACAGACAATGGTTGATGACTTAGGGAGAGAGAGCTCTGACAGTGAAAATAACAATGTAGCAAACAAGGTAGCAATGTCTAGTCAGCCACCCCCCACATACCGGTGGGATGAACTTAGAGGAC